GGAAAACTACACAATATGTTCTTCTGCAGAATCTTATCATTTCCTAATAAGCTGACTCAGTTTCCTGTTCATACAAATAGCTACCAATTTAATAAGAGTTCCAGGCTTCCAAGGAATTTTCTTGTTTTCATTACCAGTGAGGCACCAGAGTTACACCATACGTGGTATGCAGAAATTACGAAAATCTGAAAACAATTCTTTGAGGACCATCTAGTCTACTTAAGTCTAGAAACACAGCATCCTCTTATGTCATACATGAATAAAATGAATGCCCCACAACTTGGCCTCTGATAAAGGACATGAAGATGTGTAACCCCTAGATGACTAAAACTCCTGTCTAAAAGTAACTCCAGGCTGATTTTTCTTTTTTTTTTTTTTTTTGAGACAGAGTCTCGCTCTGTCACCCAGGCTGGAGTGCAGTGGCCAGATCTCAGCTGACTGCAAGCTCCGCCTCCCGGGTTTACGCCATTCTCCTGCCTCAGCTTCACAAGTAGCTGGGACTACAGGCGCCCCCTACCTCGCCTGGCTAGTTTTTTGTATTTTTTAGTAGAGACAGGGTTTCACCGGGTTAGCCAGGATGGTCTCGATCTCCTGACCTCGTGATCCGCCCATCTTGGCCTCCCAAAGTGCTGGGATTACAGGCTTGAGCCACTGCGCCCAGCCTCTTTTTTTTTTTTTTGAGACGGAGTCTCACTCTGTCGCCCAGGCTGGAGAGCAGTGGCACAATCTTGGCTCACTGCAAGCTCCACCTCCCAGGTTCATGCCATTCTCCTACTTCAGCCTCCCAAGTAGCTGGGACTACAGGCGCCCACCACCATGCCTGGCTAATTTTTTGTATTTTTAGTAGAGACGGGGTTTCACCATGTTAGCCAGGATGGTCTCAATCTTCTGACCTCATGATCCGCCCGCCTTGGCCTCCCAAAGTGCTGGGATTACAGGTGTGAGCCACCACGCCCATCCAAGACTCCATTTCAACTAAAAATATAAACAAATATTTTCTGAGCATGGTGGTATGTGCCTGTAGTCCCACCTACTAAGGAGGCTGAGGCAGGAGGGTCAGTTGAGCCCAGGAGTTTGAGGCTTCAGTGAGCCATGATTGTGCCACTGTACTCCAGCCTATCTCTCAAAAAAAAAGATGACAAAGACCAAGTTCTTGTGTTCAGGCTGTTCCAATCCCACAGGATAGTCAGACACACACCTTACCAAGAACACCAGGTGAGACATTGTACATGGCATAAAAAGTACAGACAGTTTGAGGGCAGAGCACAAAAAGTACCTGGGTATTGTTGTACACATTGATGACATTGACTGGCCTATGGGTGTCACACACAAAGAATATAGTGTCTTCATCAGGTTGAAGAATATCCAACAGGTCTACATTAGCTCCACAGTTTATGAGAATAAAATGACGAAACTGAAAAAAAGGAAGATATTGTAAAGTAGCTATATCGAGGAGGCCCTTTTCCCTTCACCACTAAGTCTCTGAGTTGTTCTGCTTAAACTTACTAAGTCCCTGACATGTGGCAAGGCCCACGTGGCAAGGGATTCCAAAAAACGGCCAGGCTGGCATGCTAAGTGCTTTAGCATGGTGACAGAGCAGTGTGGGCCCTGGGGCTCCGTTTTCCCCAGGAGCACACTGAGACTCAGCAAGCCCAAGTCTTATGGACAGCTCAAGAAACTAATGAGGAGCAGAGCAAGGCTTCAAGCACATGATTGCGTCTCTCCAGACCTCACGGTACTATGCTGCGTGCCTCTCCAGGCTAATGGCATTGTACAGGTTTAAGTTTTCGGCAAATACTTTATGGGTGCTTAAATATTAAGTCCTTTATCACACTCCATCACTATTGCATGTGCTTTCCTTATCAATACCAAGCTGGTGCAGGTCCTTGACATAACAACAGGAACACCAGGAGAGGACTTGTCTCTGCCAAAACAATCCTAGATATGGCTAGGGACTCCAGGGTCCCTCTTCCATGTCCCATCCCCTCTCTGTGGGGTCTACAATGTCCCATCTCTCATTTGGCCCCATGCAGAGGTGGGAGGAATCCTGGCATCTATTGTTTAAATTTATTCCTGTATTTCAAGTTGGAAACCAGGATGCATTTTCTTGGAGAAATAATATAAAATAGTAGTGTATTCTAAAATAATTTTAACTAATTCCAGCACTTTGGGAGGCTGAGGCAGGCGCATCACTCGAGGTCAGGAGATCGAGACCATCCTGGCTAACATGGTGAAACCCTGTCTCTACTAAAAATACAAAAACATTAGCTGGGCGAGGTGGCAGGTGCCTGTAGTCCCAGCTACTCAGGAGGCTGAGGCAGAAGAATGGCATGAACCCAGGAGACAGAGTTTGCAGTGAGCCGAGATCATGCCACTGCACTCCAGCCTGGGCGACAGACCGAGATTCTGTTTAAAAAATATATATATAGGCCGGGTGCGGTGGCTCAAGCCTGTAATCCCAGCACTTTGGGAGGCCAAGACAGGCGCATCACGAGGTCAGGAGATCGAGACCATCCTGGCTAACACAGTGAAACCCCGTCTCTACTAAAAAATACAAAAAAGTAGCCAGGTGAGGTGGCGGGCGCCTGTAGTCCCAGCTACTCAGGAGGCTGAGGCAGGAGAATGGTGTAAACCTGGGAGGCGGAGCTTGCAGTGAGCTGAGATCCGGCCACTGCACTCCAGCCTGGGTGACAGAGCGACACTCCGTCTCAGGAAAAAAAAAAAAAAAAAAAATATATATATATATATATGTAAGTAAAAAATAAATAAAATAAATCAAAATAAAATAAAATGATTTTAACTAGACCATATTAAAAACTGCTAGATTCCAAGCACCTTACAATCAAATTTCTGCAAAACAAGTTCAAAGTTAGGGGCTATCCACATTCATTATCTTTTTTTGCTGTCAAGTTTGCTTCTACAACTTGGGCGTAAGTCACCAGTACATACAGCATGTTTTTCTCTTCCGTATTGCCTAATGTAGCTGATACTTAAATACATACTGAATCTATTGTGGACATAGAATGCTGTGTCAAGAAATTACAATTGAGTAAAAAAGCCACGTTATTCTAAAATACATCTTCAATACCTGTTCTTTATGCTCAAGAAATGAAGTTTCAAGTTCTTGCCACCCAGAAACTGGAACCAGCGTATACTGCACGTGGTCACACTGGAACAAGGCCTGGAGAGAGAGTGTTTTCAAAGCCTATCTTATTTAGGGCATTGGCAATTTACCTTGAAAAGAAACCGAGTTAGATTAGATGGGTTGAGAGATAAAAGACACGGGATAACACTAAAGTTAGTGAAATGCTTCCGGGAAAAGCTAGGTGCTAGGCATACGAGTGTTTACCATACCATCCTGTGAATTTTGCAAATTACCAAATTAAAACATCGGTGGGAAATGCCGATTTAACTTCCAGGCCGTCTGAAAAGTTCCTGATCCAAGGGCCAGACCAAAACAATGTACATACCATGCCCTATTCAAAACCAAACTAACGATCCTCCCTAATAGACTAGGGGCTCCCATATTCCCAGCAACACCTACGACACAACTGTACCCAGAGTTGTCACAGATTCCTCTCTCTCTCAAATCCCCCATTTGAGAGGCCACTACAGATCCAAAGTTTCCCCCAAACGCCAACTGCTTTGTTCACCTATTCATATTAATAGTTTATTGCAAAAATACAAACTAGTCTCTTTACCTTTTACTTAATCCTCTATCCCACCCCACACCGTTGGGACAGGGAGGCAACTTCTCCTCTCACCTGCTGCTCACCTCCTGCCCGGCTTCCTCTCCCGCGCTAAGCCCTCAGCATCCATCCTGACTCTCTGCCCGCCCTGCGCCCCCACGCAGCACCCTCACCTCTCGCGCCGGCCCCGCCCTCCCAGGCCCCGCAGAACTCACCTGAAGGATCTTGCACGCACACAGAGCATCCACGTCCGAGGCCACGAAGAGAAGGACCCTCTATCGGGGAAAGAGCGGACGGGCTGAACGCGGCGACCCGAACCCCGGCCCTCCCCTGCCTCCCGGTCACCCACGGCCGCTCCTCCTCATCCCTTCCCCACCAGCAAGGCCTCGGCGGGGATCCCAGATTGGGCGTCACCTGGCTCTGGACCACCTCGTAGAACTCTTTGCGGAAATCGGACACGAACATAGCCACGGCGGCCGTACGCCTGGCGCTCGCGCTGAGGTACCAGGAGCCCCGGCGGCAGTCAAGACTCCCGCCAAATCACGGCTCCTCCGATTGGTCCAGGAATCACCAACCAATAGCCTCTTAGTTCCCAGCCTTCCTTTCTTTCTGATTGGACCACATTGGAGGCGGCCATTAGCGCTCTGCCATTCACGGCTAGAAAACTCCAGCCCGTCCCAAAAGAAGGGTCACCTCTGAGGCCGAACGCAAGCGCTGTTGCCCCTTTCAACTCTGACTCGCTTTTACCCAGAAACGCGACGCTCGGCGGACATCTTTACTTTGGGAAGAGAAGCCTACTGCCTCCCACTGGGAACCCCCAGAGAAAGTACACTACTTCTAGCCATACATTAAACTCAGTCACATACCGAATGGGGCAGCAGTTACGTTTGCAATAGGTTTTTGGTGTGGTCTGAAGAAGGATTTGTAGCTTAGTTCCGCCCGAGTCCTAGATGGCTGAAGCAGAGGCATTCTGGGTAGTGCATTCTGGGTAGTGTAGTCGTAAGGACAATGGGCCCTACTAAATTCGTCTGGAGGGGTTGAAAACTATCAAAACGTAATTTAAAATAACTTTAAAAAGTACCTACTAACGGGGAAATAAATCACGAAAGGTCATTTTAATGCTTCTGCTGAGGGTGTTTTAGAGCCTAGCGTCTTCGCCTGGCCTGTTCTCTTTTGCAGCCGACGCTTTGTCCCGGGCACCCCCCTCCGGGTCTCGGGTCCGGCACTTCCGGTGAGCCTCTGGGGCGTACCGGCTTGGCGCGGCAGAGGCGGCGGAGGCTGGGAGAGCGGTCGGCGGGGTACGTTCGTCGTATTGCCGGAGAGAAGCGGAGTCTCCGAGGTGGTGTCCATCATGGTAAGCGCTGACGGGCAGCGGGCGGGGTCTGGGGGTCTGGCCCGGGGCCTGAGTTAGGGCCCGGCGGGGCGGCGCGGGACGGCGGCGGAGGTGCCGAGTCACCTGGGCCTGAGTCAGGCCTGCCGGCTCATCGGCCGTACTGGGCACAAGCAGAACCCTTGACCACTAACCGCCTGTGGTCGCGTCCGCCAGTCCTGAACGTGGCTTGCATTCCGTCTCAGCCGGACTTGCCGTCGTTGACGAAAGAAAGGAAAGTTAGTGTCCATTCACGGGTTTTCCATGTGCTGGACGCGCAACAGGTTTCCATAAACCCAAAGTTAGTTGCAAGGTTGCTGGGGATGGAAACAGAATCAGGCGCTCCCCAGGGAGAAATCTTAGAGGGCATGCCCGGTCTTGGGGGACACCCAGCTCTTGCCCCAGTTCCGTGAGCTCCGTGCCTACAGGTTCGTGCCTTCGGATCTGTACAGCGGTGTTGTGTTCGCTAATGATAACGATGGAAGCTAATACCTGCTGGTACATTTCCTGTTACATAGCTTTTAACACCTGTACTCCCTCATCACGCCTTATTTCTTTTAATCCCTGCAATTCCTTTGGAAGCTAGGATGATTATTTTGAACATGAGAAAACTAACGTTTACAGAGATACTTTATTCGAGTCACAAAAGTAGGGAGTGGAGAGTTGAAGTCAAGTCTGTCTGGCTGCAAAGCACTCTACGGTATTGTCTTCCTGTCACCTGTTTATTTCAGTAAAGACAACGAATGATTGTCAGATTTTATTCCAAGTGTGTCACTGTCAAACCCTGGCTTATTTCAATTCTTGAGTTCATCCACTCAAGAATACCTGATATGTTCCACACAATGTGCTAGGTCTCGGCATTGAAAAGGAAATTGAGAGATGGGATCTGGAGTAGCAAAGAAGGAGCAGAAGGTCGGGTTCATGGGTAAACTGCAGGCAGGTTGTTAAGTATGTTGCCCCTTTGTGCGGATTTACCTTTTATGTTCAAAGGAAAGAAATGGCTTAGATAGGTTGGCTAGTGAGAAGCATTCAAGGGAGGCAAGCCCCTACCCTTTTCTGGTGTTGTTCACCCGGAAACACTATTTCATGTGTTCCGGCGAAGATTTAGTTGAACAGTTATGCTGCTTAAAAGAAGAAAGACAAAAGATTGGATATTACTGTGCTGGAGTGCCAGGGAGTAAAGAACCATCCAAGAAATTAGGTGGGAACATGCTATGTTTGCATTTTAGGAAATGGCTAATTCAGCTTTCTAATTTTGGGGTTACTAGTAAACTCCTTTGTCAGTAGGTGGCATTCCTTCTATTAAATATATATTTGGAATCAAGTCAAGAAATTTTCTGTAATAGAGATTTTTTTTTTTAGTTGTGGTTAAAAAATCCAAATTTTAACCATTTTTAAGTCTATAGTTCAATTGAAATATAGTGTTGAATACATTCACTAGCAAGATTTTCTGAACTTTTTCATCTTGCAAAAATGAAACTCTGCTCACATTAAACAGTAATTCTCCATTTCCTACTCCTCACAGCCCCTGTCAATCTCTATTCTACTTTGTTCCATGAATTTGCTTACTCTAGGTACTTCCTAGAAGTGGACTCATAAAATATAAGTTCTTTTATGACTGACTTATTTCACTTGGCATAATATCCTCAAGGTTCATTCATGTGACAGGATTTCTTTCCTTTTAAAAGCTGAATAATATTTCATTGTATGTATATACCACACCAGTATTTGTTTATTCATTCATCTGTCATTGGACACTTGAGTTGCTTCCACCTTTTAGCTATTATGAATAATTGTGCTATGAATATGGGGTGCACAGAAATCTCTTCTTGATTCTGCCTCTAGTTCTTTTGAATATACAGCCTACTGTGAGATTTTATGTGGTTTCAGTTACCCAAGGTCAACCATGGTCCAAAATTTTTAAAATAGAGACCACATTCACTTAACTTTTTTTACAGTGTATTCTTATAATTGTTTTATTATTACTTGTGAATCTCTTACTGTGCCTAATTTATAAATTAAAAAATTTTTTTTTTCTTTTTGAGATGGAGTCTTGCTCTGTTGCCCAGGCTGGAGTGCAGTGGCACTATCTTGGCTCACTGCAACCTCCACCTCCTGGGTTCAAGTGATTCTTCTGCCTCAGCCTCCTGAGTAGCTGGGATTACAGGCGTGTACCACCACGCCTGGCTAATTTTTGTATTATTGTAGAGAGGGGGTTTCCATGTTGGCCAGGCTTGTCTCAAACTCCTGACCTCAGGTAATCCTTCTGCCTCTGCCTCCCAAAGTGCTGGGATTATACGCGTGAGCCACCACGCCCAGCCTAGAAATTAAACTTTTTGCAGATATGTATAAGAAAATTGTAGATATGTATAAGAAAAAAACATAGTATATATGGGTTTCAATATTACCTCTGGTTTCAGGCGTCCACTGGGGATGTTGGAATGTATCCCCTGTGGATATGGGGGGTGGTGGGAGGAATACTGTACTTTGAGAAAACCTCAAATTGATATGTTTGCTAAGCCTCATCTAAGTCTACAGTTTAAGAACTAGGATCTTAACCTTTTTAATGGCATCATGTTTTAGCTTTGCTTGTTGCTATAAGAAAGCATCACAACATAGTGTGACGTGTACCTACTCTGCTATGAGAGCAACTGAAGGGGCACTGGCCCTGACCCTCAGCAGAGCAGCAGAGGCTTCCTGGGGAAAGGAAAGGGTGGTAATTGGAACCCAGGGGAAGGGGTGCAACCACTGGGTACCTGTTCCTCCTGCTGCCTGGAATGCCTTTCCCTATTTTTTGCCTGGCTCTCTCTCATAGCATTCGGGTCTTTGTGCAGAGTCCCTTCCTAACTACCTATTTAAAATAGCATTCCCAGGAGCCCTCTGTCTACTTACCCTGCTCTTTGTCTTCAGAACTGCCGGACACACATGTCCCTTGCTTTGAATGTATATCTCCCTTGGTTTGAGTGTCATTTTCACCAGGACAGGGGTGGTATCTATTTTGTTAGTGGACAAACATCACTAGAGTGGTGTTTCCCTTGTGCTCATGTCAGAGCCTGGCAGACAGTAGGCACTCAATAAAGAGATGTTTCAGTTAACAAATATTGTTTAGATTAATGATAGTAAGAAAAGTGTTCAAGGCAGAGGAACTAGCCCAGGCAGGAGTCTGTGGGGCTGTCAGTACAAGTCTCTGAGGTATGCAAGACGTTGGGCCTTGATCCTGAGGATGAAGATGGGAGCACAGCCCTGAAAAAGGTTCAGGACAGGCTTGGCGTGGCCTGTTTTATATTTAGTAACATTACATTGAAGATTTCAGTACATTGAAGATTTCAGTACATTGAAGATTTCAGTACATTGTATTCTCTGACAATGTTTAGCAGCATTGATTACTCTGACATGTTTTGTCTTTTGACATGAAGAAATGTACCTTTGTTTTAATACTTGTTTCTCTTTCCTCCTTCTAGTTCTCTTTCAACATGTTCGACCACCCGATTCCCAGGGTCTTCCAAAACCGCTTCTCCACACAGTACCGCTGCTTCTCTGTGTCCATGCTAGCAGGGCCTAATGACAGGTCAGATGTGGAGAAAGGAGGGAAGAGTATGTGCTTGTTTTTATTTGAATAGTAACCTTTCCTGCCCTAAGTCTGCAATGCTGTAGCCTTCAACGGTACTTACTTTGCATGTGGGAGTCAGAAGCTAGTGTTACTGTGAAAATGGTGCTTATTCTAGACTTGCTTTATTGCGGTGGGGTGCTAATTATGGTTAGGTTTATGGCTGATAACCATTCAGTTCCCAAAATAAATTACATCAAGTAAGGTTCTTTATGAAAGATTACTATGACATTCTGGCTACCCTAAAAACCGTTTAAGGCTTTTTGTTAGATATAAAGAAACTGCATCTTGCCTTTGGTCAGTTCTTTTTATTTTTATTTTTTAATATTTCTTAAATGTTCTTTCCACAGTAATTATGCCGCCCTCAGCCCTGGACCAACTCAGTAAGTATCTTCTGAGTGACTTAAGAACTTAGTAAATATGGACACCAAGAGTCAGCATGGGCTCCTCAGTATATCCAGACACCAGTGCCCTTTGTCAGTATCTAGCTGTGAATTGTCCCTGGAGGACATGTGCTGGACTGGGAGAACCTGGGTCACAGGTACCTAGGGCAAGACCAGGGCCCCCTGAACCTCAGCTTCATCACTGCCCTGGGTGCTTCAGGTCCCTCCTCTGTGAAGGGAGTTCCCTTCCCCTTCCTGATTCCCCCCCCCACTCCCCCTACCCCCACAACTTTTCTCAGTATTCTGTCAGGATTAAATGAGGTACAAGTATCAGGTGCTTTGCACAGTGCCAGGGCAGCTGATGCCATTGGCTGGGCTCACTAGATTTTTTTTCCTAAAGGAAGAATTGGTCAGCTCACAAGAGGGCGCTGTGAAGCAGGTTCCTCATCCCCGCCCCAAGCATCTTTCCTCAGCTCCAGACCCCCATTTCTTTTTTCTTTTTTTTCGAGACAGAGTTTTGCTCTTAGCATCCAGACTGGAGTGCATTGGCGCAATCTCGGCTCACTGCAACCTCCGCCTCCCAGGTTCAAGAGATCCTCCTGCCTCAGCCTTCCGAGTAGCTGGGATTACAGGCACCCGCCACCACGCCTAGCTAATTTTTTGTATTTTTAGTAGAGATGGGGTTTTGAATGTTGGGCAGGCTGGTCTTGAACTCCTGACCTCGGGTGATCCGCCTGCCTCAGCCTCCCAAAGTGCTGGGATTATAGGCGTGAACCACCATGCCCTGCCCAGACCCCCATTTCTAATCGCCAGTGCACCACTGCATCCTCAGCACGTCAAAAACTGAGCTATTGTCTTCCATTCCAGAAACCACTCCTCTTGCTGGGCTCCTGCCTCTTACCAGGAGTGAGATAGGCCCACAGGGGTTGTAAGAGTGGCCACATTCTTCCTCCCTTTTCTCTGACCCCTTATCCCACGAGAGCAACCTGGAAACCCATGCCCTAGCCCCATACTACACAGGCCCAGAAAATCCCAATCATGGACAACCCAATCAATGATGCCGTCACTGCCTTCCAAACTTAAGAGTGTTTCTGGTGTGAATTCTTCCCGTGTGAGGCAGGAGACTGGGGCTGGCTAGGAGGACAGGTTCATGCTTGGTGTTAGGGGCCTCTGGTGGCAGCAGGCTGAGAACAGGTGCTGGCTGTGTTGTGACTCACCTCGGGCTCTTTGCCCAGCCTGACTCCAGAGTAGCAACTTGACCTCTCTGAATCTCAATGTCCTCTTCTTTAACTAGGGACATCCACAGTGTCTATGCATCAGAAGTACTATAGTGTCTGTGACACCCTGAGCTATCTGATTCCAACCACAAGGTGGGAGGTAGCCCCTGAGCCAGCACCAGCTGTGGCTATACCCAGTGGAGGCCTCAGCGCAACCAGTAGGTCAACAGAGCTATGGCGTTCACAGCTCTCATGAAGACCCCATCATTACAGAGGAGAGAACGGGCCCCCTAAAAAGGTCTTCCTTTCAGGTCATGCTGATCCAGGAGTCAGACACCAGGTGTGACCCTTGGCACAGGTGTCCAGAAGAGACTTGGGCTGGGTCATTGAGGTGTAGCTCAGATCAGTGTTCAAATCTTTTAAGTGATGGGAGAAACTCTTTCTGTCTAAATCTTACAGGAAGTCCTCTATTTCATAAAATGAGGGTCTCTGCTCTTTTTGGAGGAAGTGAGGGGGTACAGAGGGACTGGGAGCCTCTAAGTCACAAAATGCAGTTTGAGAGTCAGTGCACTGAGGGACATTGGAGTCTCTTCTCACTTGCAACAGTCTCAGACCCTTGGCTGGGCCCAGTCCAGTTTCCTGTGGACCAGCTGTAGGTCAGCTCCATGGCTCTGCAGCTGAGAGATGCACTGGGACAGAGGTCCTGGCCCCTTTACTGCCAGTGTGAGAGTCACCCTTGGTGATAGGAGGGAATGTCCTCCCCTACTGTACCTCCATGCTGCTCCCAGAGGTTCTCTGTAGCTTCCTGCCCAAGCTTTCAACTTGATTTGCTTTATTAGAATTTGTAGGGAGATCTCAAATGGAATCTGCTTTACCTCCCAACACTAACTATGATTTTTGTTGGAATATTTGCCTAAACTAACAAGCTAAATTCTGCTTTGATGGTTGAATCCCTGGACTTAAGTCAGCAGCCTGGGTTTGAATCCTGGCATTACCACTTGTGTGTTGTGAGGTCTTAGGCGTGTTACTTAACCTGTGGGCCTCAGTTTCCCCATAGATAAAAGGGGATAATGATAGTACCTGACTGTCTGTTCTGGGAAGACTGAACAAGGGCCTTACACATGGCAAACACCATCACTATCATCAGTTCCTTCTCAGTCCTCTCCCCCAGGGCCCTGTGTCTCCTGGGTTCCTGTCTCTTTTTGCCAGCCCCTCCTTTACGTGCCTGTGCACCTCTTAGGTCAGCATGTCACTAATCCAGCTTACTTGCCTCTGGCCCTGCTTTCAGCTCACACCTCAAGGTCCACCAGAGAGAGGAGGCGTCCTATGTCATGACCCTGCTGAGAGCCCACACTGCCCGCTGGGCCCAGGCCCTAGGTTCTACCTCGTGTGGTGCCCCTCCCCTTCCCAACCACTCCCACACCTGTCCCCAGCCTGTCTTGCCTAATTGCCCACCATTTCTGAACTGCCTGGGCTCCTCTTCCCTTCCCCGCCTTTGCTCAGGCTGCCATCTCTGCCTGGATTTCCTCCCAGGTCTGCCCGCCCAGTGCCCAGCCTAAAGAACTCGGCCTCCAGGAGCCTAGCCCAATAGCTCTGTCCCCTCCTGCTAGCCCTTCCCACAGCACCTGTAGCATCTGGTTGTGGTTGTTTTCTTTGTTGGAGTTTACCTTTAAACTAGAAACCTTTAAAGAAAGATAGGGATTTTGTCCAGGACATGGTTGGCACTGAAATTATTTATGAATAAGTGAATGAACACGTCACCTTTTTTTTTTTTTTTTTTGAAACGGAGTCTCGCTCTGTGGCCCAGGCTTGAGTGCGGTGGCCAGATCTCAGCTCACTGCAAGCTCCGCCTCCCGGGTTCACGGCTTTCTCCTGCCTCAGCCTCTCGAGTAGCTGAGACTACAGGCGCCCGCCACTGCGCCCGGCTAGTTTTTTGTATTTTTAGTAGAGACGGGGTTTCATCCTGTTAACCAGGATGGTCTCGATCTCCTGACCTCGTGATCCGCCCGTCTCGGCCTCCCAAAGTGCTGGGATTACAGGCTTGAGCCACTGTGTCTGGCCGAACACATCACTTTTTAGAATGTTGACTTCAGAAAATCACAAGTCTACGCCAGTGCTGTGTTACCAAGTTGTCAGGCTCCTCCTTGAGCCATGCACTGTGCTCTTACAGAGGGGATTCATCTGCCAGAGGAGTGTGGGGTTTGAGGGGCAGGGTTGTGGGGAGGCTCCTTCTATGGGAAGGCATGGGCCGAACAGGTTTCCCTTCATAGGAGTTGTGCCTCATAGCCTCTCTCTTCTTTTCAGGCCGACTTAATATTACCTATCCCATGCTGTTCAAACTGACCAATAAGAATTCGGACCGCATGACGCATTGTGGCGTGCTGGAGTTTGTGGCTGATGAGGGCATCTGCTACCTCCCACACTGGGTGAGTGGGGCTGCCACTTAGGGTCTCTAGAGAGCAGCCACTTAGGCAGAGACATGCCCTGCACTCGAGAGTCCTGGCCCTGGAGCAGGTGGCCCAGCCTACTCCTCCTGCTCAGCATCTCAGCCTGACCTGACCTGGCGGGAGAGAAGGGATCCAGAGCAGTGCGCTGTGCCTTACGCAGGCTGGTGGGCTCTGGACGTACCTGTGGGCCACTGTGCTGTGGGAGCAGCCTTGTCTTTGATAGTTGCACAACTGGTTGTGCAGAAACAACAGCTGAACTGTTCATCTGTGATTTCCTGGGTGAGGCTTTTTAAAAAATAATGGAGCAACAGTGTTTTTTAGGTGGTCTAGTAAGTAGGGTGTTTGAGGTTTTTATGCTTTCCCCTACTTTTAGTAGTCTGTCACAACGTATGTGTTTTTAGTTACCTCTAACTTAGTCTCCCAAATCTCTCAACTGAGCTGCTGTAGGAATGACGCCTTTCTCCTTACAAGCAGGCTCTCTTTGGAAAGTTGACTTGAAGGACGTCATTGCAGATCTGGGCTGGGATATCCAGGGCGTGTGAGCCACCAGAGCCTGCCCTTGAGGCTGTACCCCTCAGAGAAGTGAGCAGAACTGTGCCAGTGCTGTAGGGAGGAGCCTGCAGCAGTGGGAGTTCCACATAGGTAGCTGTGGCCCACTTGGCTCCTTCTTCTCCTCACTCCTCTCCCCAGCTCTGGCACATTAGGGAAGTTCACAAAGGGACCTGCTTGTCCTTCTCTTTGTGCTTGAATTACATCAGGCATACTGAGAGACCCCACAGTGAGCTGTGGGCTGGGAACTCTCAGGAGTGCTTGCTTGGCTGCCACCAGGGAGGTGGTCTGAAGCCCACCTCTCCTCCTGATGCCCTGTCATGCCCTACCAGATGTTCAGAAGGGATGGCCTTAAATAATATTTTCTGAGATTAAATATGAATTGAAATTCTGGCCAGGCACGGTGGCTCACGCCTCTAATCCCAGCACTTTGGAAGGCTGGGGCAGGCAGATCACTTGAGGTCAGGAGTTTGAGACTAGCCTGGCCAACATGGTGAAACCCCGTCTCTACTAAAAATACAAAGATTAGCCAGGTGTGGTGGCACATGCCTGTAGTCCTAGCTACTTGGGAGACTGAGGCAGGAGTATGGCTTGAACCCGGAAGGCTTAGGTTGCAGTGAGCTGAGATCACGCCATTGCACTCCAGCCTGGGCGACAGAGCGAGACTCCATCTCAAAAAAAGAGAAAAGAATAATATGAATTGAAATTCTGAAGGTCCCTTTCCTCCTGTAGCAGGTGACCTTGCCCATGGTGCCATGGCAGTGGCATTCTCTTCAGCCTGGGTCCCAGGGCCCTTCCCAAGGTCTGGGCCTGGCCAGTGTCTCCCCCACAAGAGCCCTGCACTCCCATTGCACCTCCTAGTGCCTGGCCTTCCCATGCTGCCTCCTCACCTCAGCTGACCAGGTCTGCCCACCCTGGCCTGTGGGGGGCTTTTATGCCTCAAAGCCCAGATGGGCTCACCTGCCCTCCCAAGTATTTGCTGCTCAGCCCCTTGCTATTGTGTTTGTCTGCAGGTGCCCCCAGGGGCCTGAGGCCATGTTCTGCTCATCCGGTAGAACACCTGGTCACTGAAGCCACTCTCGGTAGCTGAAGTGTCAGGCAGTGACTACTTCCCCAGTCCCTTCTGTGGCTCACCTTTATAAGAGGAGGTGGTGATGCTGGGAATACACTGTACTTTGAAGGTTTTCCTTTAACCCATAGACTTGAAGTTTGGGTGGCCTCTTGTCCAAGCTGTTGGGCTGCTTTAGACCAGGAAACTAATTGAATCCCTTTCTCCCATGGAAAGCCTCTTTAGGTAGCCTGGAGCTGGTTTGGGGTGTGAAGCCATCAGGCCACCTCTTCCCCTGAGCTGGCCTTCTAGCTCCTGGCATGGGCAGGCGTGACAGGTGTCCCCCATCTGCTGTCTTGGAGGCCGTGTGAGCCAGTGCTTTTTCTGGGCTGGTTGGTGGACTCCTTCCCACCCATGCTTCCAAGCTTCTTCAGGGTGAGCCAGCCTGGAATAGGTGCTGGCCTTTTTCCTTGCAGCCAAGGCTTTGTCTGCCGACCTAGATCTGAGCCCTGGACTAGCCCTGGCCTAGTATCTTGTGACACACAGATACTCGGCTACCCATTGTGCGGTATGCTCTAAAATGCTACATGGGGAAGGCCAGGTGTCAGCTCCTCCTGCCTGCTTAGTGCTCTCGGGCCTCTTCCAGCAGCCCATTTCTCACCTCAAGCCCTAGTCTGACCTCTCTGCCTCTCCGCCTCACATCACCTATGGCAGTGTCCTGTCTCTGGCTGAGGAAGCGACCCCCATCCCTGGTCAGACTTCCCTCAGGCTTGAGATTGCAGCCCAATGTCCTTCCCGTTGCTGACATACTTCCTACAAAAATCTACCCTGAGGGACAGTGCGCCTGGCCTGCGGCTGGCTGACTCTGAGCCTTAAAGTACTTCCTGTTAGAACATCACTCCTGGGGATTCCAAACCCCAGTTACCAAAGCCAGTTGCCTCTGCATCCTTCTGTGCCTGTCTGTGGCATCCAGTAGAGTGATCACCCTCTATTTCTGCCCTTACTAGCCTGACAAGCAACTGTCAGCGTGAGTGCGCAGGGTCCTCTGCACGCCTGTCCACAGGGTCCACCACTCAGGCTTCTCTTGTGGCCTAGGCACAGCCTCCCAGGCACAGTCTTGTCCTCAGCATGCCTCCTCCTCCTCATGAGCTCCCTCTCATCTGTGACACAGCCCTCAGTCCCCTCTTCCCTTGGCTGTTAAAGTCACCTTCTCACTGCCACTCTTGATGAAACATTCTTAAAGGGATGTGATACCTGGGATTCGCTTCAGGGCATCTAGTGTGGCCTGGGACTGGGTGTGAGGTAGTGCCGATCAATGGACTGAGCCATGACGTGAGCACTATCCAACTGTCAGGGCTGGGTGCTTGGGAGCTTTCTTGTGTGGCTCTTTCTACTCGTGTATATGTCTGACGCTCCTTTTAAGATGGTTTCAAATAAGACAAACAAAATTTCATTGCAAGAGATATAGAGCCTCTAACCTGAGTCTGGGCTCACTGCACACCCAGTACTCACGGACACTGTTTATCTCTTTCCCTCTCACTCCTCAGCCGTCGTCTACCTGGCTGGGTTGTTTAATAGAGGCATGTGGAGGCTTTGTCAGATTTTTATAACCTCCACAGCAGAGACCTTTGGGGCCTTGTCACCATCTTGCAGCCTCAGCTGTGGTGGGCCATTCCATTGCCAGGTCAGCCTTGCCTTGTGCTGCTTTTGTCCTACCTCAGTTGCAGCCCTACTTGCCCCGGGGCCTTACTAGTTACTTGTGGGACAGCTTGGAAGTACGGTGAGTCACTGTTCCAGGAAAATGCTCTGCCCCTGGGAAGCCTGGAGCTAGTGAGCAATCCTGGCGGCCCTGCAGAGATGCGTTCACACTGTGAGCTGTGGAGCTTCAGTAGCACCCCTTTATTGGCCTTCTTCCACATCACTTGATTTTTTCCTCCTTCCTGACATAGTGTCACAAATTACTTATCTTGCCTCAGGTTCCTCTTCCAAGGACCCAAGTAAGACTGGCCTGCCCAGTGTATAGGGAGCAGTGGTTGTGGAGGCTACTTCATCTCTAGGAGTCTCATGTAACCTCTTCTTCCTTTCAGATGATGCAGAACTTGCTCTTGGAAGAAGGTGGCCTGGTCCAGGTGGAGAGTGTCAACCTTCAAGTGGCCACCTACTCCAAATTCCAGCCTCAGAGCCCTGACTTCCTGGACATCACCAACCCCAAAGCCGTGTATCCTTTTCAAATAAGCAGAGTTCTTCTAGACAAAGGAGAGTGTGCTGGCAGTTGTTAAACATCATGTACTGTATTTAATCTGTGTCTGCTTTGGGGATCACACATTTGTGATTCAAGTTGTGATTTGAGAATAATGGGGTTCAGTTAGCACATCTGCGTGACCCTGGCCAAGTGCACTGGTTGCTGTCTGGGCCACCTCTGTCACTTCCCAGACACTTCCTGGAGACCATAATGAAGCCCTTCTTTCAGTGGGTCTGTGTCACCTGGCACAAAGCCAGGATGTACAGTATGTCCAGTGGAAGGAGGGAGCAGCTCATCTGCCTTCAGCTGCAGCCCCTTCTGTGGCTCCCTAGTACCTCTGCCCAGCCATGCACTGGCCCATGAACCTCACTGCATGCCAGCCTGAGAGCTCATTCACTCCAGGCCAATAGGTAGCAATGACTGCAATTTCTATGTCACCAAGCAGAAAGCAAAGGTATCAGGTTCTAGTGGATTCTTTATGTTCACCTCTGAACTTAAGCCAGGTGTATGTGTTGACAGCATCAGGAAGTAGGCAGTGCAGGTACGGGATGGTGCTATGTGCACTGATCAAGATCTCTAGCTCCATGGCCCCAATTTGCCTTTTTAAGATCATGGCATAAGAGTGGCCACTCCATTCTACTTTTTTTTTTTTTTGAGACGGAGTCTTGCTCTGTCACCCAGGCTGGAGTGCGGTGGCCGGATCTCTGCTCACTGCAAGCTCCGCCTCCCGGGTTTACGCCATTCTCCTGCCTCAGCCTCCCGAGTAGCTGGGACTACAGGCGCTCGCCACCTCGCCCGGCTAGTTTTTTTTGTACTTTTTAGTAGAGACGGGGTTTCACCGTGTTAGCCAGGATGGTCTCGATCTCCTGACCTCGTGATCCGCCCGTCTCGGCCTCCCAAAGTGCTGGGATTACAGGCTTGAGCCACCGCGCCCGGCCTACTTTTTTTTTTTTAATTTTTTAAATGCATACTTGAGAAAAAAACAAACAGTTGAACAACACGGACAGAAAGGTAAGAAAAGCTGCCTCCCTTCCCAGTAGCCCTCTCTCCAGATGTTTTCTTAGGAGCAAGGTACTGCTGATTGTGCTCTGGATGCATATGGGCCACGTATATCCCATGCTGCCCATGTCCTGGACACAATGGCCTTGTTGAGCCTCCTGTCCCACAGGCAAAGGGATGTCCTATGGGAAGAGCTGGTTAACTTGTCCTTCAGAGCTCTGACCTAGAGGTGCTTGTTTGGCTGTCAGTGACCAGGAATGGGCCCTGCCCATTTTCTCAGGGTTTTTACCTGTGTTGCAATGCAGACTCTTTATTTATTTATTTATTTTTTTTGAGAGAGCGTCTCAGTCTGTTGCTCAGGTTGGAGTGCAGTGGCACAATCTCAGCTCTGCCTCCCAGATTCAAGTGATTCTCCTGCCTGTCTCCCGAGTAGCTGGGATTACAGGCATGCACCACCACGCCTGGCTAATTTTTGTATTTTTAGTAGAGTCGGAGTTTCACCATGTTGCCCAAAGCGGTCTCGAACTCCTGACCTTAGGTGCTCCACCTGCCTCAGCCTCCCAAAGTGCTGGGATTACATGCATGAGCCAGTGCGCCCGGCCCCAATGCAGACTTCTTATCAGGTTGATCTCAGATGCTGTTTTTGTCAGCACAGTTAACTTGTTAGTGTGTGGAGAAAGGGCGTCACTTCCATCAGTTGAGAGCCTGGTGTTTTCTGGTCTGGCTGAGGTCTGGATGAAAGCAGTCTTGGCGCTGAACAGAGAAAGTGGGAAGCTGGTGCTGCAGCAGGCGCCAGAGTACGCAGAGGCCAAATGGGGAGCCAGCCCTCCTACAGAGGCCTCGTGTTCTCAGCCTGAGGGCTGTGGCTCTGCTCCTCCAGCTGCTGCAGTAGAAGTCAGAGAAGATGCCCTGGCAGGGTCACTGGAGGAGTGGAGGGAAGGGCACTCTGTACCGTTGCACTTCATGTGCGGGAGCAAAGAAAGCATTCACCACATAAGGCACTTTTCACAAAGTTGCTGTGGTTCTGGAAAGCTGTTTGACCGAACGAGGTGAACCTAGATAGCCTCGCCCTTTCACCCTCAAGTTAGACTCTCACAGTGACAGGCTCTGGAGCCACGTTTCTTGTGACCTTTTTATGTAAAGTAATTCAGCAAATTGATGAGGAAGACATGGTTAAAATATTCCACATGAATAGACATTTCCTTGTATGGGCATTTGGGTTCTACTGTCTTTTACTGTTATAAAAAGTATTTGCTGGTTTCTTTAATTTTTATTAACTAAAGTTATCAGCTCAAAAGATAGAAACAACAAAAGTATAAATGAAAGCATCTTTGATTTTGAGGAACTTTTGAGAGGACCTATCTGACTCATTAAATCTTTTTTGTTCTTTTGTACTCCCATAGGATTTTTTAAAATCCCATGGTATAATTTGTACACAATAAAATGCACACAGTTCAGCCAGTTTGAAAATGTGTACACCCATGTAACCAGAACATTTCCATGTTCCCAAAAGGTCCTTTCCTGCCAGTCCCCACCTGATCCCCTGGCCCAGAAACCTCTCAACTACCTCCTGTCCTCATAGATCTGTCTTTCTTAGGGTTCTGTGTGGATGGAATCTCACTGCCCTTTTGTGGTTGGTTATTTCCCCTTCCCCCAGCTTGGCATTTGTGAGATTGATCCATATTATTGCATGTTAGGAGTTCCATCCTTCTTATTGCCAAGTAGTACTTCATTGTGTTAAAGCTTCGTGTTTCAAGTACCATCATGGTACAGTCTCTACCTACTAGTAATCATCTAACCCCTCATGGAAACTTGTTTCAGATTTAAGGTATCCATCTTGCCATGTTGCCTTGACAGAGTGTGTCTGCAGATTAGAAAATGCACTTAGGAACTTTGCCTGTCTGACCACCGGGGATGTGATTGCCATCAACTATAATGAAAAGGTGAGCCCAGTTCATGCAGGTCATGCCTGACAAGAGCCACCTGTAGTGTCCATTCTGATGTTTGAATGGGGCTTCTTTTTAAGCGGGGTATGCCTGTATCTTATCACCTAATTACCGCCTACTGTTTGGTTATTAAGTTTTCCCGGGTTCATATTTAGAGGCCTAATTCATTTGGTAACTCTGTTTTGAGGATAGATTGCATTTACGGGGAAATATTGATAGACTTGTTAGTCATAGCTCTGTGTACCTTGGTGGCTACTGGTTCTATCTTGGTTTGAAAGGTCCCCACTGCACCTCTAATCTAACCTAAGCCCTTTGTGGGGCTGTGGAGACACAGTAACAACCCTGCTGGGTCCTTGTTCTTGGGATCCTTGCCCCACAGAAGCTGACAGGCCCTTCAGTGGGGCCAAGTGCTCTGTGGCATCTGAGAAGCAGAGCCTGGCTCTGCCTTAGGGCAACACCTCCTAAGCTCACCTCTCCTCCTGGGAGCCCACATCCTCCTCCACCACCTCCTCCTGTTTTCTTCAGCTTCGGTTTTCACTTCGCAGCTTCTCTAGGCTTGACCTTTCTGACACAAGTCTCTCAGGTCTGAATGCCTCTGTTTCCATCCCTGATTTTATGCTGTTTAGGTGTCTGGATCTAGACAATTTAACTGTAAAGTGAAATGACGGGACTTACTCCAAAATTCAAGAAGGCATTCACTTTCCTATTACCAATGGGAACATGCCTGAGGGAGGATGTAATAGTTGGCAGTCCTGCCATCAGGCTGTCCTACCACAGGCATGGAGCACAGTACTATGGGTGCCCCTGTTCACTGTGACTGTTGACAATTGACCCTCCCAGAGAGCTGTTGCCAGGGCTAGCCTTAGTGTTCAGCAGTGACCACAGCCTGGCTTGACTGGGCTTTCCCTGAAGCTAGCACTTAGCTCCTTCACAACACTCTCTGGTCCCCTCAGGGACTGGGCCGTCACAGCTGTGTCACAGCTGCAGCCAGTTACTCCCTTGGTGTCAGTGCAGGGATCCAGCTTATTCTCTGGCAGTTTCCTTGTATTTGAGGCATCTGACCTTATTTTTCAGTTTTGTGGGTTTCAAATCACACTTTCTTTTTTTCTTTTAATAAACTAAGAAATAATCTTGTTCCATTTAGCTTTGTGGAAAACATTTTAGGTGTCGTTTACCTTAACTGAATACTCTAAGCTTTTATAATTAATTGCAGGCAGTTTAATGTTACTGTTTTTAATGTTAAGGTAGTAATACTAAATATAATTCCTAAACTGATGATAAAGGATATATAAACTGATGATAAAGGACACCTGTGGTGGCTCACAGGCACTTTGCACTGTAAGGGAGGGTAGATTATATAGAGTATATGTAGAACTGAAACACAGGTTTGAATTTCCACTTTTAGAAGTAGGGAAAACTAGATATGTACTGTTGTGCTTATAGAGAATTTTAAAGACTCTAAGCAGGGTTGCCCTGAGGGCAGATAGCTGTATCAGTGCTCTGGTGGGAGATCAGACTCGGAGATCAGGGTTGAACTGGAACCCTTAAAAGCAGTAAAATAGACACAGAGGTGGGCGTTGTCCTTGTCTCAGGAGAAATAAACACAGATCCTCTCTGGAAAAAGCACTCCAGTTTAGTTAAGCCTTTGGGATTGCTGTCAATTGAACAAGCAAACAAGAATGCATAATTAAACCAAACCAAAGCAGAGACAATAAAAATTAGATCCCTAAGGAAATCAGCATTAGAATTTCTAGGTACAAATGTAAAATAATTAGATATAAAATGTTCAAAGATATTTTTAAAAATGGAATTATAATAGCAAGCAACAAAAGGCTATCAAAAATAACCAGAAAGATTTGAAAAACAAAACGTTAAACAACAGCTATAAAAGAGTTAATGATGATGAATCTGAATAAATAACAGAATTTCACACAGAGGAGCAAGGGGATGGAATATACGAGAGCTTGAGATGTTGAAGACACTGAGAAAACATGCCCGTTGCAATCCTAGTAGGAAAGAATGGAGGAATTGCAATAATCTGAAAAGATGATAACTGAAATTGATTTAGAATTGGTGGTCAGCCCATCACTACAGGAAGTTTATAATGTATAACAAACAGAATAAGCTACAGGTAGAAAATACCAAATACAGAGAGTTAAGCAGGGAGAAAACACAGTATCTACAGAAGAACAGCAAGTAGCAGGTCTTTGAATAGCAACAGTTACAGCCAGTATCAAGTAACTATCATCAAAACCTTCCTTAAAGAATAAGGGCAAAGTAAAAATATTTTCACATGAACCAAATCTGAGAGAGGTTATTTACCAATGGAATTTTAAAAGCATGTACTTTAGGAATAAGCATTATCCTAGAAGGAAAGCAAGAAGGAATAGGGAATAAATAAATTGGCAAATATGAAGCCAGGGTAAATGTTGCCATATAAAGCAGTTATAATGTTTAATATACGAAGCTTAAAAAATGACATCTAAAATGTTGGAAAAGAGTAAGTAAAGACTTACTCTCCTTTTTTGTGAGACAGAGTCTCTCTTTGTCTCACCCTGGCTAGAGTGCAGTGGTGCAATCTTGGTTCACTTCAGCTACCGCCTCCGAGTTCAAGCGATTCTCCTGTCTCATCTCAGCCTCCTAAGTAGCTGGGACTACAGGCATGTGCCACCACATGTGGCTAATTTTGTATTTTTAGTAGAGACGGGGTTTCACCATGTTGGCCAGGCTGGTCTTGAACTCCTGACCTCGGGTGATCCATCTGCCTCAGCCTCCCAAAGTGCTGGGATTATAGACGTGAGCCACCACGCCCAGCCTAGACTCACTCTGTTGAGAGAGTTGTTTGGAATTGAAGTTTTCTGTTTACTATTCAATAAAGTTAATTTAAAAAGATAGCTGAAGCTGGGTGTGGTGGCTCACACCTGTAATCCCAGCAATATGGCAGGCTGAGGTGGGTGGATCACTTAAGTCCAGGAGTTTGAGACCAGACTGGGCAACATGGCAAAACTCCATCTCGACAAAAAATACAAAAATTCGCTGGGCATGGTGGCATGCACTTGTAGTCCCAGCTACTCGGGAGGCTGAAGTGGGAGGATCGCTTGAGTCCGGGAGGCAGAAGTTACAGTGAACAGTGACCGTGCCACTGCACTCCAGCCTAGGTGATAAAGCGAGACCTTGCCTCAAACAAAAAAAAAGCAAACCCTGAAAAGTCTACATACATATTGAATGTTTAAAAAGGTATAAAATGACTTAGGTAAAGCAGATACCTTGAAAGATAAAACAACTGTGAAAAATTTTATACTAAGAAATCAGCCAACTTATTTGACATTGATAAATTATTTCCTAGAGGAAAGTATAATTGAAGTTTGACTAAAGAAAAAAAACAAACAAACAGCCTAAATAATTGTATAGCCAGTCAAGTAATTCAGTCAGAAAAATCTTAATCCAGGAAACCCAGGCCCAGATGGTTATATATGCAAGTTCTTCCTCACACTCAAGAAATAAATTGCTCTTGGATATTCTGAAAATAGAGAAAGAAAATATTCCCCAGTTCATTCTCTGAGGTCGGTATAACCTTGATCACCAAAACCACACAAGGATAGGAGAAAAGTAAATTACAGATCATTGTCACTTGATACAGATATATAGATTGTAGATAAAATATTGACAAAAGAATCTAGTCATATATAAGGAAGATTCTATATGGCAGCTTAGTGTAATAAAGCTCCAGTAGTTAAAATGCCATATGGCGTTGGTTCTGCAGTAGACAAGTAGGCCAGTGGAACAAAGCCTTATATACAAAGAATCTTGGTCCACCACTGAGGCAACATTGATGTCATCAGGCAAAGGAGATACTGGGGTTGGGGAATCTAGGATATTGACTATTCCTAAGATGAAAAAACAAATTGAGTTCCTAACTCACACCACAGTAAAAAAATAAATTGCAGATGAATGGGTAAATAATATGTGGTATACACATACAATGTAATATTATTCAACATTAAAAAGGAAGGTAATTCTGACACATGCTACCACATGGATGAATATTCTGCTCAGTGAAATAAACCAGATGCAGACAGACAAATACTACAATTCCACTTACATGAGGTACTTAGAGTAGTCAAATTCATGGAAGACAGAAAGTAGAATCACTTGGGCACCATGGCTCACACCTGGCATCCCAGCACTTTGGGAGGCAAAGGCCGGAGGATTGTTTGAACCCGAGAGTTTGAGAGTAGCCTGGGTAATATAGTGAGATCCTGTCACTACAAAAAAGTAATGCAAAATTTTAAAAATTAGCTGGGTGTGGTGGCATGTGCCTATAGTTACAGCTATTCAGGAGGCTGAGGCGGGAGGATCAGTTAAGTCTGCAGTGAGCCAGGGTCATGGCACTGCACTCCAGCCTGGGGGACAGAGCAAGACCCTGCCTCAAGGAAAAAAAAAAAAAAAAAAAAAGAATGGTGGTTGCCAGGGCCTGGGGGAAGCGGGAGTCAAAAGTGAATGTTTAGAAACGTATAGCAATTTGGCATTGTCGTAACCTCCACACAGATGGCCACAGAACCGGTCCTTGTCCTGGTGAACTCTGGGCATTTGGTGTGTGTTGTGTCTTGCTTCTGTGCAAGAGGACCACGTGGCAGTCCAGCAGACTGCACATTTTTAAAAACTAGGTCTTCCCAGGTAGTTTGAGGAGCACCAACCTAGAAAAGTGGTCCCATAGTTAAAAAAAAAAAAGTGTTTAATATTATGCCAATACATAAAAGTAAATGGAAAATGTCACAGGCATATTTATCCTTACTAAATGCAATATATTCTGGTACTTCTAGGGTACTGTCCTCCAATTCTTTCCTTTTCAGTTCTGCTTGCAGCCCTATTGGTTTTATGACCCACTGATTGGTTGTGGCCTGCAATTTGAACACATAAAAACGGTAGAGAAGCTTGAGCCAAGCCCTAGGAGACATGTTTGAATGTTTAGAGTAGTGTCATTAACATCGCAAAATGATTGGAAACAGGCCGGATGCTCAGTGGATAAATGGTAGTATATCCACACAATGACAGATCCTTTTTATTCCTTGTTTATTCAATAATTACGACACTTTTAAAAGTAGATTTGGCCCTGCTTAGGTTTTTTTTTTTTAATGGTGGGACTATCCAGACTTTTTTAAATGATTGTAAAAGCAAGACATACTGGCCAGGCGCGGTGGCTCACGCTTGTAATCCCAGCACTTTGGGAGGCCGAGGGGGGTGAATCACAAGGTCAGGAGTTCAAGGGCAGCCTGGCCAACATAGTGAAACCCCGTCTCTACTAAAAATACAAAAATTAGCCAGGTGTGGTGGCATGCATCTGTAGTCCCAGTTACTTGGGAGGCTGAGGCAAGAGAATCGCTTGAACCTGGGAGGCGAAGGTTGCAGTGAATTGAGACCACACCATTACACTCCAGCTTGGGTGGCAGAGCGAGACTCCATCTCAAAAAAATAAAAGCAAGACAGACTTTAGATAAAAGCAAAGAACCTGAAATGATGCAGGAAAAAGTAGATAGGGCCACTTTTAATTTCTGTGCTTCTGGAAGTTTTTTTTTTTTTTTTTTTTGAGATGGAGTCTCACTCTGTCGCCCAGGCTGGAATGCAGTGGTGCGATCTCGGCTTACTGCAAGCTCCACCTCCCGGGTTCACACCATTCTCCTGCCTCAGCCTCCTGGGACTACAGGAGCCTGCCACCACTCCTAGCTAAGTTTTTGTATTTTTTAGTAGAGACGGGGTTTCACCATGTTAGCCAGGATGGTCTCATTCGCCTGACCTCGTGATCCGCCTGCCTCAGCCTCCCAAAGTGCTGGGATTACAGGTGTGAGCCAATATGCACAGCCCTGCTTCTGGACATTTTTCATGTGCATTTTTTACATTCGCGAGGTCATCTTAGACACAAGCAACATGACTGGTTTTAAAATTCTTTTCCTGTTGGCTGCATAGCATACTGTTGTATAACTATAAATTTATATATGAACAAATATAATTCAGCTGCCTTTTGAGTATACAGACAGTCCCTGACCATGGTTCTACCTAGAATTTTTCAACTTTGTGATGATTCAAACATGATACACATTCAGTAAAAACCATACTTTGAATATTTATAAAACCATTGTTTTTTATCTTCAGTACAGTATTCAATAAATTACATGAGTTATTCAACATTTGATTATAAAATAAGCTTTATATTAGATGATTTTGCCCAACTCTAGGCTAACGTATGTGTTCTGAGAATGGTTAAGGCAGGCTGCACTATGATGTTTGGTAGGTTAGGAGTATTAATACATTTTTAACTTATGATAAGTTTATGGGACTCGGTTCCATCGTAAGTCAAGGCGCATCTGTACAGTGGCATTAGTGACATTGGTATGAGCCTTCTTAGAATGTTCTCATTGGGAATAGCTAGTTATTTACTTAGAATAAATTTTGAAGGCCAAGTGCGGTGGCTCACGTCTGTAATCCCAGCTCTTTGGGTGGCCGAGGTGGGCAGATCACCTGAGGTCAGGAGTTCAAGACCAGCCTGGTCAACATGGTGAAACCCCGTCTCTACAACAATACACAAATTAGCCACGTGTGGTGGCGCATGCCTATAGTCCCAGCTACTAGGGAGGCTGAGGCAGGAGAAGTGCTTGAAGCCAGGAGGCGGAGGTTCCAGTGAGCCGAGATCACACCACTGCACTCCAGCCTGGGCAATAGGGCAAGACTCTGTCTAAAAATAAATAAAATAAATAGTAAAGTTCCAGAAGTGAACTTTCTGAGTTAGAGATTGTTAGTGTCTTTTGCAGTTAGCTGTATAACTACCTTGTCTAATTTGAACCACATCTGGGGAACAGCATCTCTTCTGCGATGGGCACAGGGCAGCCTGTCCCTTATGGTAGTGTTGTCACAGCAAGAAGTGCAGCTGTAGGTTGTGTCGTGGGCGTGAATGCTGTGTCATTCGCGGGAGCCGGTAGAGCCACAGTAACATGGACAGCGACAGCTTCAGTGCTGCCAGGAAACCATCCAACTGATTTCTGTGTTTGCCCCACAGATCTACGAACTGCGTGTGATGGAGACCAAACCTGACAAGGCAGTGTCCATCATTGAGTGTGACATGAACGTGAGTGGCTCTGTCCAGTTACAGTGAGCCTGGGCCCTGGGAGGATGGGCACTTGGTGACCACTGCAGGCCAGGGTGTCAGGAGGGCATCAAACAGCCCCTGGGACTCTTTGGGCAAAGAGGAGGAAGATGCTGTCAGAACATCATGAGGAGACTGTGACCTTGTCATCTATCTCAGGGCCAGTTGAGGCAACAGAGTGTTGCCAGTGCTGCCATGGTTAGCTCTGACCTGTTGAGGAGTGAATTTTATTTTTTTATTTATTTTTTGAGACTGTGTTTCACTCCTGTTGCCCAGGCTGGAGTGCAGGGGCCTGATCTTGGTTACAACCTCCACCTCCCAGGTTCAAGCGATTCTCCTGTCTCAGCCTCCCGAGTAGCTGGGATTACAGGCATGTGCCACCATGCTCGGCTAGTTTTGTATTTTAGTAGAGACGAGGTTTTACCATGTTGGCCATGCTGGTCTCAAACTCCTCACCTCAGGTAATCCACCCACCTTGGCCTCCCAAAGTGCTGAGATTACAGATATGGGCCACCACGCCTGGCTGAGGAGTGAATATTCTTAAGAGCTAAGGAAGCTTGCTGAACCTTCTGAGTAGGAATGAAGTGCTGATGCACACAGCATCCTGGTTGTATTACTAGGCAATACTGCTGAGCAAAAAAGGCCAATCCCAAAAAGTTACTTCATTATATAGCATCCTTAAAGTGACAGAGCTTTAGAAATGGAAGACAGACTAGGGGTTGCCAGGGCTTAGGACTGGTGGAGGGGGCTGGGAGACAGCTGGGTATGGTTATAAAAAGACAACATGGGCAATCCTAGTGGTGGTGAAACTGTTCTACATCTCCACTGTGGTGGATACATGGCCCTACACAGTGATTACATTGTGTAGAACTAAAGATACACATAAACAAAAACATGTAAAACTGGGAAATCTGAATAAGAGTGGTGGGTTGTGCCAGTGTTAATATCTTGGCAGCAATACTTTACTGTAATTTTGTAAGATGCTACCGTTGGGAAAACTGGGCAAGTGTACAAGGCATCTTTCTGTATTATTTCTTAAAACTGCATGTGAATCTATAATTGTCTCAATTAAAAGCAAAAAAGATAAGGAAGCCAAGGGTGGCCATGTCTGAATATTTTACTTTTAAAATCCTGGAAACACAGGTGGACTTTGATGCTCCCCTGGGCTACAAAGAACCCGAAAGACAAGTCCAGCATGAGGAGTCGACAGTAAGTGTTATCCCCAGTGTCCTTTGCTGTCCTGCTGCATGCTGCTTTTGAGTTCCTGGTAGTGACTCGTGGGTGGCCTCTGCTGGTGTTGGTGTCATATCCTCTGCGTCCCTTCCAGCCATGCTTCCGGGGGACATTCTAGCTGGGGGTGGGGGATGAGAGGGAAGCTGGGTGTTCCCGCTGAGGAGCTCACCTATTTTTCTTTTTCTCTGTCAGGAAGGTGAAGCCGGCCACAGTGGCTATGCTGGAGAGCTGGGCTTCCGCGTGAGTACCAGACCACTTGACTTACGTTGCTGTGCCCTCTGCTCCTTGAAATTAGAGCACTCACTCAAGCTGTTCTTCATGATGCTCGATGGACATCAGCAGGGGCTGGGCCTCTGGGTACCTGTGCACATGCATGCAAATCTACCACTTGCTCAGTTACCAAACACTTTTATATCTACTCTCTGCTGGAATCTTCCCAACAGCCCCATAAGGCAGCCCAGCTTTTTAAGAATTTCTAACCTACCGAAGAGTTTAAATAGTACAGTAGACAGATACTCTTCCCTTAGGTTCACCAAACGTTACCACATTTGCTTTCTCTCTCTTGTAAATCATGTTTCCTTTTTTCTTTGCCTGTACCATGTGGGTTGCAAACATGACCCTTAGCATAACCACTGGCAAGGCTCCGTGGGAAACAGGTGGAGGTGGCTCATGTGTGGGCACTGAGGTGGCAGGAGGTGCCAGGAAGCAGCAGAGACAGCAGAATGATGGGAAGCTGAGCTATGGGGCAGTCACAACAGTGACCTTAGCCCACCCACAGAGCTTGAACTGGGTGGCCCTGCAGAGGCAGGGGTCAGGCCTTTTAACCTAACACTGACTGCTGGCTGCCCTTGGCCAAGTGGCTCTCTTCAGCTCATGGCCGCCCCCTGAGGAACTGGGCAGAGTTCTCAGCTGCCAGCACCCCAGCAGCTGAGGAGTCAGGGCTTCGGTCCTGAAGGGTCTGCCCAGCACCCCAGCTCACATCCCTGCGGTGATCTCCAAGCAAAGGACATATCTGTCCTCACACTTGGGCTCATTATATGACTCAACTACTTCCTGTCTAGGCTTTCTCCGGCTCTGGCAATAGACTGGATGGAAAGAAGAAAGGGGTGGAGCCCAGCCCCTCCCCAATCAAGCCTGGAGATATTAAAAGGTAAGTCTGTCCTGGCTGTCCTTCAGGACAGGAGGAGGATCTGTGCCAGCCCTCTGGGGTGGGGCAGCCTCACCCCAGTTCTGGAGACAAAGCCTGGGTCAGTAGGCCCAAGGGACTTTACCCTTACCTGCTCTCCTTGGTGGGGTGGAGCACAACATGTCCCTCCTTCCACAGTGCCACCCCCAGTACCACTGTGGTCCAGCCTCACTCCATACCTCAATTCAGCGTCTTCTTGCCCCCAGTGGCTTTCCGAAGATGTGCGTCTGATCAGATCTGTCTCTTATTCAAAACCCTTCTGGTCCCTATTTGGTGATCTGCCTATTTTCCTGTTTTGTGACTTTGAATTATTAATCAGGTCACATTATCTTAGTTCTCCTGAAAGTTCCCTGAGGAGCTACCTCAGATGTGCTTCTGTTGCTGGGTCCAGGGACCCACAGCAGACCCTTCCTCTGGTGGCCATGATGGCAGGGGCAGGGCTGAGGTGTGTCAGTTGTCTGTTGTGTGTATGAAATCAGGAGAATACTGGAGTGAGAGTCTAGCCACCTCAGGGGGTTCTGTGAAGCTCAGGACAGTGACAGTGAGGGCTTCCCAATCCTTCAGATGACCCCTCTCCATAGACAGGTACAGAGCCTAAAGCCCCTGGCCCTATACCCAATGCTGATACTAAACCAGGAAGCCAGTTACCTTCTGCTTCCCTCCTGGGAGGATGCCAGGAAGCACCAAAGGGCCCAGGTGGGGTGCAGCAGCATCTTTTCTGCATTCCTCTTCACTGTCATAAATGAATTTTAGTCCTTTTTTCCTGGAAATAACATTTCTCCTTGTCTCTCTCTTCTTACAGAGGAATTCCCAATTATGAATTTAAACTTGGTAAGATAACTTTCATCAGAAATTCACGTCCCCTTGTCAAAAAGGTTGAAGAGGTGAGTGTATTTCCTTGGTTGGTAATGAGGAGATTTATTTGCTAGTGATGACTGAGGTTCCTGGCATTCTGAGTAGGGGTGTGTATTAGTCTGTTTCCAAGCTGCTGGTAAAGACATACCGGAGACTGGGCAATTTACAAAAGAAAGAGGTTTAATGGACTTACAGTTCCACATGGCTGGGGAGGCCTCATAATCACGGCAGAAGGCAAGGAGGAGCAAGTCACATCTTACATGGATGGTAGCACGTGGAGAAAAAGCTGGCGCAGGGAACCATCTCCTTATAAAACCATCAGATCTCATGAGACTTATTCACTCACGAGAACAGCACGGAAAAGACCCGCCCTCATGACTCAGTTACCTTCCACCAACTCAGTTCCTTCCCACCAGGTCCCTCCCACAACACGTGGGAATTCAAGATGAGATTTGGGTGGGGACACAGCCAAACCACATCAGGGTATCTGTGATGTTTTCCCTTTCCTGGGGTCCCTCTGCTCCCTGGTGTCCTGTTTTTTTCTGTAGTGCTGGTGTGAGGTGTGTGAAACAGAAGACTTGCAGCATGGGGGTCGGGACCTCTGTCTTGCTCTAGAGCTGACTCCAGGCTCTGTTATCACAGAACTGTGTACCCTGGGTGGGCTTCATCTTCCAACAGAGACCTTGAACTTCAAATATAGGAAGTACCTTCCAGCTGAGCAGGGTGGTGGTGGGACAGAGGAAGGCAAGGGCTGAGCATCCTATAGACATGGGCACTTTGTGGGAGTGGGCCAGGCCCAGCAGCAAGTGGAACGCAGTCACCTCTGTGTGATGAGGATTTCTAGAACACCAGCACTTCAGACCCATCGCTTTCCTGGTTCCTTTTCTCAAAGGATTGGACCCTTGAGGATCCAGGAGTAGGGCCAAGGGCAGATGTACTGAGTCACCCATTCAGGGCCAGCTGCTACATAGGACCCATCCCTGGCCCATCCTGATTACCGAACTCTCTCTAGCACTTGGGGTGGTTGGGGACAGAGACCACTGTGAAGTTTGCACACCTGGTCCTACTCACAATCACTTCTGGGCTCAATGTTCAAGTTGAAACAGCATTGAGACCTTTCAGGCCCAGAGGAGCAAACAGTGGCCAATCAGACCTCACCCTCCAGCCCCTCCTTCAGGCACCATCCAGGCTTCACCAGCTACAGGCTGCCTTTCTCACTAAAAGCCAGTGCCTGACTCAGACCTAAGACCTCAGCATGGGACATCCCCCAGGCTGACTGTGACCTGACTGTTGCAAATTTACAGAAGGCAGGGTAGGCCGGTGGGCACAGCAGGCCTGTTTGACCATAAATATGTATTTAAGAAGTATATGTTTAAAGATGGGATTGAAGACACATTTAGCTCTACTCCATCCTGCAGCCCCACTAAGGCTGTGGCTAAAGGTCATGAGGTAAGAAAGACAGTGGAAGAGGAGGCAACTACAAGGCTTTGAAAACCCAGGGTACCTTAGCAGATCATAAAAAGCCTAGAAGCAGTTCTGTGTAGATTGTGTGTAGACTGTAGAATTCTCAAAAGGCACCTCTAGAAATGAGGGACTAATGACAGAACTCTGTTACTAAGCAGTTAGAGCTGCATTACCCTCCCTCCCCCACCCCAGAAGGCTGGAGGCCCGACTCCAGTAGCACTCTAGACTGTTACCTCTGAAGTGAAGGCCAGAGTCAGAAAGCTTCCCAGTCCAACATCTAAATAGTAGAGGATTTGTGGGAAGAACAGCCACAGAAACCAAAGGAGCAGAAATCATCAGGGAAATAGTTTCCCCAAAGATGGACACAAGTTCGCAGATTTGAAGGGTCCACTGAGTTCCAGCAAAATGAATCAAAATAGCCCCACTTTGGGGCAAAGAAAGATCCTAAAGCTTCTGGAGAGAGAACAGAGGTATCACCATGGATCAAGGACATCATCAGCCAAGCGCCATGGCTCACGCCTGTAATCCCAACACTTTGGGAGGCTGAGGCGGGAAGATCATTTGAGCCCAGGAGTTTGAGACCAGCCTGGGCAATATAGGGAGACCCTGTCTCTACAGAAAATTTTAAAATTAGCCCAGCATGGCGGCACGCACCTGTAGTCCCAGCTACTTCGAGGCTGAGTTGGGAGCATCACTTGAGCCTGGGAGGTGCAGAGGCTGCTGCTGTGAACTGAGATCACACCACTGCACTCCAGCCTGGGTAACAGTAAGACCCTGTCTCCCAAAAAAGGGACATCATCTTAGCAGGACACAGAGGAAACTAGAAGATAGTGGAGCAATATCCTCAAAATTCTGAAATTTTTTCCAACCTAAAATTCTGTACCAACTCTTAAGAGCTGGATTGTGTCCCTCCAGTGTTTCTGTGTTGAAGCCCTGACCCCCAGTAACTCAGATAGGGCCATTTAAAGAAGCAATTAAGTTATAAGACCTTAGAGTTGGCCCTAATTCAATCTGGTGTCGTTTTAAGAAAAGGAAATTTGGGCTGGGTGTGGTGGCTCACGCCTGTAATCCCAGCACTTTGGGAGGCCGAGGCGGGTGGATCACAAGGTCAGGAGATCGAGACCATCCTAGCTAACATGGTGAAACCCCGTCTCTACTAAAAATACAAAAAATTAGCCGGGTGTGGTGGCGGGAGCCTGGGAGGCTGAGGCAGGAGAATGGCTTGAACCAGGGAGGCGGAGCTTGCAGTAAGCCGAGATCGCGCCACTGCACTCCAGCCTGGGGAACAAAGTAAGACCCCGTCTCCAAAAAAAAAAAAAGAAATTTGGACATAGGAGGGGCCATGTGAGGACACAGCAAGAAGGCAGCCATCTGCAAGTCAAGGAAAAGGGCATCAGAGGAAACCAAACCTGCTGACACCTTGATCCTGCACTTCTAGCCTCCAAAACTATGAACAAGAAATTTCTGTTGTTTGAGCCACGCTGTCTTTGGCATTTTATATGGCAGCCCTAGCAGACTAACATACCAACCAGACTATCAATGAAATATGAGATGGCCGGGCGCGGTGGCTCAAGCCTGTAATCCCAGCACTTTGGGAGGCCGAGACGGGCGGATCACGAGGTCAGGAGATCGAGACCATCCTGGTTAACACGGTGAAACCCCGTCTCTACTAAAAAATACAAAAAATTAGCCGGGCGCGGTGGTGGGCGCCTGCAGTCCCAGCTACTCGGGAGGCTGAGGCAGGAGAATGGCGTGAACCCGGGAGGCGGAGCTTGCAGTGAGCTGAGATCCGGCCACTGCACTCCAGCCCGGGTGACAGAGCGAGACTCTGTCTCAAAAAAAAAAAAAAAAAAAAAAACAATGAAATATGAGAGTAGAAAAAAGGAACTCACAAGAAGATAATCCTTATGCATCTTTTCTCAGGAAGCTCCTAGAAGGTGTCCCTCGCTAAAATGAAGGAATAAGGTAGAAATAAAGTCATAGAATCCAGGAAATAAGGAGCCCCCACTAACACGTACGGTACCTAGAGAAAGGCCAGTCCAGGTATGGCAGGGTGAAGGCCCAGGAGGACACAGCTTTGTCAAAACAGATGAACTCCATGCAATGTAGGCTGTGATTGAATATATAGAGAAAAAAGCCAAACGCAGCTATTGACACCAGGATAAATGGAAGGCTGTGTGGCAAAGGAAGACTAAATGCAGCCGTGACTCAAATTTACATGAATATTACCACATAAATACTAAATGGTGTTCTACTGCAGGTATAACATGCTACAGTTAGTGGGGAGCCAGGTGCAGGAATTTGTGTTGAACATTCCAGAATCCTCTTCTTCCTAGGGAAAAGTTGAGGTAATGCCTCAGACTGACTAGCAATAAAAATATGTGAAACAAAATATGTGCAGTTTTCAAAGGCTTGGGAAAAAACAATCCCTCTTTCTGCTGATGGAAGGATAGCTTAGTAGAATGTTTCTGAGGGCTGGTTGTTCTCTATAAGTTAAAAGCATTAAAAATGTGTACACGCTTTGACCCAGGACTTTGAGCTCTAAAAAAATATCAAGAGCTGTGTACAAATACATTAAGCTGCTTACCACAGCAATGTCCACTGGTAGAAAACTGGCTCTTCTACATAATGGAATTCTTTTTAACAGAATTCAGTTCTGTAGCCTTGGGAGTATACTAGATAAGTTTATTGGCATGAGACTTCAGAATTAAGTGGGAAAACAGTTCTTCAAGCATGTACAGAAAAGTGACCTGAAGTTTTTGGGTGATGAACTTAGAGATTTTTTTTTTTTTTTTTTGAGGCAGGGTCTTGCTCTGTTGCTCTGCCATCCAGGCTGGAGTGCAGTGGCACAATCATAGCTCACTATGGCCTTGGCTCAAACCATCCTCCCATCTCAGCCTCCCAAGTAGCTAGGACCATAGGCACATACCACACCAAGCTATTTTTGGTAGAGATGGGGTCTCACTATGTTGCCCAGGCTGGTCTTGAACTCCTGGGCTCAAGCGTTCCTCCCACCTTTACCTTCCAAAGTGCTGGGATTACAGGTGTAAGCTATCGTGTCCAGCCTGAGACATTTCTTATGAGTAATATGGATGGTACGTGAGTCTATAGAGTAAGGCATTTATTGTAAATCTCCAGGGAGTTTCTGAAAATAGTATCTTCTCTTCACACCTAGGATGAAGCTGGAGGCAGATTCGTCGCTTTCTCTGGAGAAGGACAGTCGTTGCGTAAGAAGGGAAGAAAGCCCTAAGTGAGGACTGTTGGCTGACTGGAAAATAATAAAAGAATAAATTGCAACATCTTGGCTTTTAGTTACTGGCACTGACAGGGATGAGCCTCATCAGAATACTCTGTTACTTAAGATTTGCTTAGAGTTACCTAAGAATTATCAAGTTTTACTTGAAGTGGAGCAGCAGGACTTTGTAGTTGTATGCTTGATTTGGGGATAGACAAAGAGCTGTCCCTGAGGGCCTGTAGGCAGCTGCCGCCTCACCTCTTCATGCTTTCAGCTTGAGGGGGGCTCCCACTGCCTCAGCAGGAGCAATTCTGTATCCCTAATTCTGTCAAAACCAATGGAGGTGACTAAATTCTCTAACATGAAGTGTTCTTTCTTTTTCATTTATCCTTTCTTTTCCTAGGTCAGTTGCATAGGTGTCAGTCTTTGGCCTAAAAAAAGGGTTTAAATAGATGTATGTTCTATAAATAGTGGCTGTCCCACTACTGTGGCTGCAATTTAAGTATTTGACAAAGAATGTTTCTATTTTTATTTTCCATATTTTTTTCAAAAACATCACTCAGAAAAACCTGATCTGAATGAGTTTACACTTTTATTCTCATTTCATATGGACATAACTGGCTCCTTAGTGAACCTGTTCATAGTGAAACAACTCCATGGAGAAGCAAATGTGAATGTTGGAATGAACAAATGCTAAAGAGATGTTCCTCTCTTTCCTTCTTCCCTACTCCCCCACTCCTAATTTTAATTTATTAAATCATCCAAGCTTCTGCTGGCCTGTCTTTATTTTTTATCAGTATTTATTTGGTCTTAGGTCTTCACTTTCTATAACGTGAGATCTTTTGACATGCTAATCTGATTATTTTAAATTTGTTCCCATGAGCCACTGTGCCTGGCCCCATTGGGAATAATTCTAAGCCAAGAATTTCAAGTAAAAACAGGCAATAACTAAAGCCTAAATCTAAATGTTTGATTAGGTACTAACACAGACTGGTGGTTGGGCCTCTGACCAGAACTGAAGGAAGTCCTGTTGGCAGATGCCCCGTGTTCCATCTCACCATTAGAAAACTTCCCATCTGGGGCTTCTTCTGGAGAAAGTAGGAAGAAACAAGGCTGCCTGATTCCTAGGTGGCAATGGCTAAGCCCAGCGGGGTCCCCCATGAGCCAGGGCTGACCCTGCTTCTAGGCATGGGGATCCTGCCCTGGTCAGGGCCCCTCCAACACTCCAGAGAGGAGAGGATGGTGGCCCCAGGGTCTATCCACATGTCTTCAGTAAAGAGTGTCTATGAGTGTCATGATGTTCAGTACTTGGCCTGTGGCACAAACCATCATCACTGGAACTAGGCGTGGTTTTGGAAGGCGTGAGCACTGTGGGGACTTACCTGACCCTCCACTGACAAAGTCTCAGTTTTACTAGCAGAGGGAGAAACCCTCCTTGGTGGGTAGCAGCTTTCATTTGCAGGATCACATCAGCTAACAAATTGTCACTTTATGCATAATCAAGAATGTTGCAGTACCTCTGGCTCTGGGTTTTTGTCTTCACTAAGTAACACCTGCTGTGTATGCAGTGAAACACCTGGTCCTTTGCTGGAGGCACACTCCCCTGCCTGGACCAGGATGGATTCCATTCCAGGGCCTTTTAGTGGGGCCAGTTGGAGCACTGATTCTGGTCGTTACTCCTGCACCCTGGCCTGCAGCCTTCCTCCCAGTGTCTTCTTTGGGCTTGGTCCTTGAGCCAGCTGCCTCAACAGCAGGACCCCTGGTAAAACTGCAGCTTTCTGACCCACCTCCAGGGAGTCTGTCCCAGTGGGCACTTCTGCAAGCCCACCAGCTTCCCCTTTACTTGCCTTTGTTGCCTCTTGTGCATTGCTCCTTTTTATAAACGTTGCAGCCAGGCGTTGTCGCTCAGCCTATAATCCTAGCACTTTGGGAGGCCAAAGTGAGAGGATCGCTTGAGGCCAAACTAGCCTGAGTAACTTAGCAAGACCACATCTTTACCAAAAAAAAAAAAAAAAAAAAACCCAAAAAACTAAAAATTAGCCTGGTGAGGCGGTGCATGCTTGTGGTCCCAGCTGTTCAAAGTCCTGGAGTTCGTAAGCCTGGGTGACACAGCAAGACCCTGTCTCGAAAAATAAATAAGGTAAATGTTACATGTCTCCCGCACCCTTAGAATCGAGCTACAGACATCCAAGCCACTCCTACCCCACTCACCCGTGCTACACACCGCCTCCATGCCTTTGACCGGCCTATGGCCGTGCTCGGATTGCCTTCTCAGCCTCCACTTCAAGCCTGCGTTCCCTGGGCAGGTCATCCAACCCTAGATCCACCACACGTCATGCCCAACCAACCTTGGTTACTTTGCGAGTTCACCTCCATCCTGAGTGGACGCTCAGACAAGACCGCCAGAGCTGCAGATCTGGGAGGTTCGCTGCACCAACTTGATGCTCAGTACATACTTTTGAAAATAAACCGCATTGTTGAGATTTGAGAAAATCTCATAAAGCTGCTAAAAAGAACTGGCCAGAGCAGTGTGATTTTAGAGGCGACTGACAAAAGGTAGCTGCGCGGCCCAGGATGCCCTCATGGCCCGGGGTGAATGGCGCTGGCTTCGCGGTGGCCGAGTAGGCTCCGCGCCAGGCCTCGTCCCGGACTTACCCTGCGACCCTGGCCCTCCGCGCGCCGCAGCCGCCCTCGGTTGCTATTGGTTGCTCGTCCTGTTTGTCCGAGCTTCTCTAAGATGGGGGCGAAACTGTAATTGAATGTGTCGGTGCTTATTAGTTATTCTTTCAGTCGATCACGAGGTGCCGCTTTCTTCATTCTTCATTGGCTGGCGGACTGAGGGGCGGGCTTGGCGCCCCGGTCGCCCAGACATGGCGGACGGCAGCGGCTGGCAGGTGAGTGTGCTCGGGTGCCGGGAACCACCAGGGTCTTCCGGAGGGAGGGAACGGGACAGGCTCCGGGCGTGGGGCGCGGCCGCCGGCCCCCACTCAGGCGCCGCCTCTCGCCGCAGCCGCCGCGCCCCTGCGAGGCCTATCGCGCCGAGTGGAAGCTCTGCCGCAGCGCCAGGCACTTCCTGCACCACTACTACGTCCACGGCGAGCGGCCGGCCTGCGAACAGTGGCGGCGCGACCTGGCCAGCTGCCGCGACTGGGAGAAGCGCCGGAGCGCCGAGGCCCAGGTGCGCCGGGAGGGAGCGGGGCGGCGCTTCGGAGCGCCTTGCAGGGCCCAGCTTTCCCCACCCCTTCACGCCCCAGGCCCCGCCACCTAACCGAGAACTGTCAAGGTCCCTACCCTCCTCACGCTTCCTTTCTTTTGAGAGTTGGTATAAATTAGCATATCAACAGGACTTTCAGGGGGCGTGAAAGACAACGAAGGAGACCAGCGAGGAGGGTGTAGAGTGGTTTAGAGAGCAAAGAGGGCAACCGTCCAATGTTAGGGTCATCAGCTGGCCTACGCAGGAGGTGATGTTGCTGAGTCCTGAGTGACCAGGAGCCAGCCTTCATCCAGCCCCGGTAGACACTGCTGAGAAACAGAGAAGGCCTGTGTTCCTGAAGCAGAGGGTAGGTGGATGGTTGGAAAGCGGTATACCAGGGACCTGGTGGGCCTTGATACGGAGTTTAGAGTTTAGTCTAAAGTGTGCTGGGAAGCATAATTCGATTTATATCTTTAACAGATCAGTCTGTTAGCAAAGTGTGGTGACGTGCACCTGTGGTCCCAGCTACTTGGGAGAGTGAGGTGGGAGGATCGCCTAAGCCCAGGAGTTCAGAGCTGCAGTGAGCTATGGTCACGCCACTGCACACCAGCCTGGGCAACAGAGGGAGACCTGTCTCAGGAAAAAAAAAAAAAAAAAAAGAGGAAAAAAGTTCAATCTGTTTGCTAGGGTGTAGAGAGTATTTTACAGGAGCAGAGAGATCGGTAAGGAGGTGGTTCTAGTTGTTTATTCATCCAGCAAATATGTACTACATTGGGTACTCTTGGGGATGCACGAGTGATAAGAAGAGGCTCTGCCCTCCTGGCACCCACACTGTAGTCTAGAATATACAGTCCTACGGTGGACCCCTTGTGAGAGAGGAGATGGAGAGAAGCCAGCCGAAAGGTGCAAGGCTCATGGGGAGTGCCAAGGAATGAGAATCAATGGGACTGATCAACACTTCAACATTGTTAAGTGTATACAGTGATCTGAAAGACATGAACTGATGTGGAAACCAGACTGCTGTATAAAAGAAAATTATGACTATTCCATAATATGTGAAACTCAAAAAAAGTAAGAAAGCTGACAGCCTGTATAGCAAGAGATTGATAATTTTAATGTATGTATATCTGCGCGTGTGTGTATAAAGAGCTCTTATATATCAATAAGAAATATAGGGATTATTTCAGAATGGAAAAATGGCCAAAGGACACAAAGAAGCAATTCATTAAAAAAGAAAGCCAGGTGGGCATGGTGGTGGGCACCTGTAATCTCAGCACTTTGGGAGGCCAAGGCAAGGGGATCGCTTGAGCCCAGGAGCTTGAGACCAGCCATGGGCAACGTGGTAAGACTCCATCTTTATAAAAATAATAAAAAAGAAAAAAAAAAAGCCTGGGCGTGGTGGCTCACGCCTGTAATCCTAGCACTTTGGGAGGCCAAGGTGGGCAGATCACCTGAGGTCAGGAGTTCGAGACCAGCCTGGCAACATGGCAAAACTCGATCTCTACTAAAAATATGAAAATTAGCCACGGATGGTGGCACACACCTGTAATCCCAGCTACTCGGGAGGCTGAGACAGGAGAATTGCTTAAACCTGGGAGGTAGAAGTTGCAATGAGTTGATCGTGTCACTGCACTCCAGCCTGGGCCAACAGTACAGTAAGACTCCATCTCACAAACAAAAAAGAAAAAAACCAAATGGCCAGGTGTCAGGTATATAAGTCTAAATGACAGTAACAGCAGGTTTTGCCCAGCAGAAAGTCGTTAAGTGTTGATGGGGGTTTGAAGAATTCTGGGTAGTTGTACAGTGTTGGTGGGGGTGTCGGGTGTTCTGATTATGTAAATGTCAGATGCATACCTTTTGACTTTAAGTTTTACTTCTGGAACTTTATCCTAGGGAAGTAATTGGATAAGAGTGTACAGTTAAAAGTTCGGAATGCTAATTATGTTTTTGATACTGCAAAAGCTGAAAACAACCTAAATTTCACTAATAGACATTTGACCAATTAGCTTTTTCCACAAAGTGAAATACCGGATAGCCTTTGAAAGGAATAGTCAGTCATCTACCTGGGTGTGGGAAAGTGCCTACAGTGTATTGTTTAGTGAAAAAAAAAGCAGGAAGTAGACTAGCCAGCAGAAGATTATCTCATCATTAGGGAAACATGTTAGCTCTAAAATTTGGACCAAAAAACGGTATCAGGGAAGCTGTTAACTGCCACATTGGGAATGGACATTTGGGAATATTTAATAGTCTGTGCTACATTTCTGATAGCTTTTTAAACATGATCAAAATATTTTATTTGAGGCAACAGAGCTTGAACAAAGACAGACGTAGACAGATTAAATGATCTGTGTAAAGAGGCTCACATAGCACCTGATACTTACCAAGGGCCCACAGCGAAGGTCTCCCGTGTTGTGATACACTGACCCGTGTCTGTATTGGGATACAGTAGCTAGAAGAAGCTGATGGGTTGAATGGCACTTGTGGCACCACTCAGGCAGGTGGTCTGTCCTCTGGACTCTTCCCACCCTTCCAGGATACCCTGGGCATGTATTTCTTCCCTGTCTTCCTCCCTTCTTCCCTACCACACTCCTCCCTGCAGCTCCCCACAGCTGCTGTCTCAGACTCTTCTCTCCTCTCCACTCCACCCCCAGGCTCACTCTCAGCAGGTGAATATGCCCCAGACTCACAAGGTCAGCCAGAGCCATTGAGCCCTGAGGTCCAGGAGAAGATATTTTAAAATTCCTCAAATTAGTATGACCTATTCAGTAGTTTTTCACAGTAGTTTGTGAGAACAAAATGATCTCAATCTCTGTGCGCTAATATGGAATACTCGCCAAGGTGGATGCAGCTGTGCTGCACAGTGGTGTGCACCATAGGCCCCTTCCTGTCCATCTGTGTTTTGGGGGGAGGTACAGGGGTCTTGAGGGTGCTCAGAGCCTGGGGAGTGACTAGAGTCTTATTTGCACAGCATTCCCTCTGTGAGAGCGAACGGGCACGAGTCCAGGCTGCACGGAAGCACATCCTGGTGTGGGCCCCGAGGCAGAGCCCCCCTCCAGACTGGCATCTCCCTCTGCCGCAGGAGAAGGACGAGTGACAAGCACCCCTGCCATTGGCCTGTGCAGCTTCCTTGGTCTGTTTCAAGTTGCTGTTGCAAAACCCTGGGGACTGTGACAGCCTACACAGTCTAGTGGGTCCCTGTGAGCTCTTGCTGGGTTTGGAACGTGGAGCAGGACATTGCTGGTCCTACTTGCCCACCCCTCACCAGCCTGCAGGGTACCCTGACGCTGCGATGTTCTGCAGGACAATTGCACCGCTTCAGAGCTTCCAGGAGGCTAAGCATTATGGCCAGGTACCTGTGAGCAGCCAGGTCAGGCTGGGCACAGTAGCATAGGAGATGGCGGTCCTGAGGTCTAGGCTTCTCAGGTAAACTGAAGGGTAGCCCTGACCTGTATGGACACACAGGTGGGTCATAATGAGGTAGCTAAACAGTTGCGCCACTGTGAATGTCTTTCCTAGTCCTTGGGAAACTGCCTGCTATGTCTCAGGTTTGGTGAACATTGTGAGTACTCACACTCTGCTCCACTCAGTTCCACTGCACATGCAGGCAGGTGTGCCGAGCAGGCAGGGCTTGCTGGCCCCTCTGCACCAGCAGGCTTCACTTGTTAGGCTCCCAGGTCAGCCCCTGGAGACTCTAGTTTTTAAGAAATGCACACAGCTACAGAACACACAACGTTGCATAAAGAGGGTTTGTGGACTCACCTTAAGAAATCCAAGTCCAAGACATGTGGAATTAAGGACTCCTTCCCTCAAAAAAATTTCCCCTGGTGGTTAATGTATCAAAAGCCATTTCATCTGATTTCAAATAGAAGCTGAAAATTAAGTTTACATTTGTTAGATTTTATATATAACAGTGTTGTCTGGACAGTGTTAGAAACTTGTATGCTTATTCTCTTGTAGGTGTTTTAAAATGTATGAACCACCAAAAACACTATTTCTCGAAGCGGTCTCTTTATTACTAATAGAATGGTTTCTCATCCTGTGGTGGCCCTGTTATGTGATGCTGAGGGCTAGGCTGGGTCTGTACCCAGCACCCTCCCTGCTCTCTTCCTGGACACAGGCAGCAAGTTGAATATCTTTAAATTTGTTCTTTGGGGTAGAACAATCCATCACTTCAGAAGGGTGTCCATTAAAGAACAGTATTTCCCTGCTTGAGTGTTTTCTCCTGTGCTCCCTAAGAGCCCCTGTCTGTGTCTGTGAACGGTGGGGGTGGGGGCTGTGTTCACAGGATCCCAAGAGCAGGAGCATCTACAGCGGAGCCAGCGTTCCCCCATCATCAGGGGAGTATTGATGTGTCTAAGGCAACCAAGGTGCCTCCAGCATGGCTGTGGCTGGATTAATGAGCATTTCCACCCAGTGAGGGAAAAGAAGAAGACTGCTAGAGATCTACAAGGTTTTTCTTACTCTTAAACACAGGGAAGGGGCATCTGAATTTGCAGTCTGCTGTAATCCCAGCCACTTTGGGAGGCCGAGGCGGGTGGATCACTTGAGGTCAGAAGTTCGAAACCAACCTGGCCAACATGGTGAAACTCCATCTCTATTAAAAATACAAAACTTAGCTGGGCATGGTGGCATGCGCCTGTGATCCCAGCTACTCAGGAAGCTAAGACACGAGAATCGCTTGAACCCCAGAGGCAGAGGTTGCAGTGAGCTGAGATCGTGCCACTGCACTCCAGCCTAGGCAACAGAGTAAGACTCCGTCTCAAAAATAAAATAATAAAATGAATTGGCAGTCTGCATGTGGTGCCTGGGATTGCAGCAGCTGCCTTCAGGTTCATGGGGCAGAGCTGGAGAGTGCAGCAAAAGCCAGGGCATGCCAGCCAGCACCCCAGTCCATGAGGGGCCTTCCCTCAGTGCAGCCATGCTCCCTGCCACCTGCTTGTTTAGCAAGGTATGCAGTGTGCGACTGCGTGCTCGGTTAGGAAGCATTGAGTCCTGCCTCTGTAGTGCGACTGTCATATTTTGCCTCCTCCTTCACTACTCAAGTTCCACATCAGCAGATAATCTCTCTGGACAGGATGTTCCTGCATTTGTTGCTATGGCAATTCCTTCACAACATCTGAGTGTCCACATGTTGGACAGGGTTTGGGGCTTACAAGACCACAGTTTCGAAACAGACAAGTTGTCTTCAAAGAGTTTCTGTTGTAGTTTGGGGAAAAGACAGACATTAAACATCAATAAATAGGGATTTAAAATGGTGGCTGGATGTGGTGGCTTACGGCTGTTACCCCAGCACTTTGGGAGGCTGAGGTGGGAGGATCGCTTGAGCCCAGGAGTTTGAGACCAGCCTGGGCAACATAACAAGACTCTATCTCTACAAAAAATAAACGAGCCATGCATGGTGGCACGTATTTGTAGTTCCAGCTACTTGGGAGTCTGAGATAGGAGGATCATTTGAGCCCAGGAGTTTGAGGCTGCAGTGAGCCATGATTTTGCCAGTGTACTTCAGCCTGGGCAACAGAGCGATATCCTGTCTCAAAATAAATAAAAATAAAATGGTGGTAATTTCTGAAGCAGTTTGGATAATTTTCTTTTATGGTGGTGTTATGAAGAAAACAAATACTGCAATAAGAGCAGTATATTTCACACTTTATGGACAGGTGCTAGGCATGGTGGCTCACACCTGTAATCTCAGCTACTTGGGAGGCTGAGGCAGAAGGATCACTTGGGGATAGGAGTTTGAGGTTGCAGTCAGCTATGACTGTGCCACTGCACTCCAGCCTGGGCGACAGAGCAAGACCCCGTCTCTAAATAAATAAATCCTTTTTTTTTTTTTTTTTTTTTTGAGACGGAGTCTCGCTCTGTCGCCCAGGCTGGAGTTCAGTGGCCGGACCTCAGCTCACTGCAGCCTCCGCCTCCCGGGTTTACGCCATTCTCCTGCCTCAGCCTCCCGAGTAGGTGGGACTACAGGCACCCGCCACCTCGCCCGGCTAGTTTTTTTTTGTATTTTTTTAGTAGAGACAGGGTTTCACCGTGTTAGCCAGGATGGTCTCGATCTCCTGACCTCGTGATCCGTCCGTCTCAGCCTCCCAAAGTGCTGGGATTACAGGCTTGAGCCACCGCGCCCGGCTAAATAAATAAATATTTTAAAAATAAGTGTTTTGGACAAAACCCCATATTAATAATAAGTATTTTACGTCATTATTTGGCATAGACTGTTATATATAGCATATTACTGTTGAAATATAAAACAATATGTATCCGTACTGTATGTGATACAGTGCCATTTTCAGTAACTGCTGTACACACAGCAACTCAGATGAAACTCAAGGAAATTCTTCGGAGCAAAACCAGCCAATCTTGAAAACATACATGTAGCAGGATTCCATTTATGTAACATTGATGAAATAATGTAATTACAGAGATGGAAAACAGATTAAAGGTTACCAGGGGTTAGGTTAGGGATGGTGGGGGGGTGGTTCACATAAGGGAGTCCTGTGGTGTTGAAAACCATCTGTCAGCCTGACTGATGGTTACACAGGGCTATACATGAAGTCAAAATTGTGTAGAGTTAGGTACACAAAGGAGTACAGATATAACTGGGAAACTGAGTATGTTCTGTAGACTGTACCAATGTCAGTTTTTGGCTCCTGATGTTAACATTGGGGGAGGCTGGGGCAAGGGTACGCAGCACCTCCCTAGACAACCTCCTATGCAACCTCCTGTGAATCTATAATTACTTCAAAATAAAAAGTTGAAAACAAACTGTCGGCCATGACCTACTGAACTGATTGTACAACCTAACGGATGAAACCTAGTGTTTTTAAAAGCACTGCTATCAAGCACCTGTGCTGGACACTTACCTTGGGCGGGGAGGTGGGGGAGGCCTCAGTGTCTGAGCCCAGACCTGGATGAAGAGGCTCAGCTCCTGTCAGGCAGAGAAAGGGACCCACAAAGGCAGAGGGACCTGACACCATGTATTGATAGGAGGGGGTGCTGTGAGCTGTAATCAGGAATCAGGGGATGAGACTCTCGGGGTGGCAGGTAGCCAAAGACCTGACCTGACCTGGCTGCTGTGCAGAGAAGGGGTGGGGTGGCTAGATCAGTTGGCCACTGCAATAGAACAGGCAAAAACTGACTATGACTTGGACCTCAGAGGCAGCAGTAGAAGTCGTGAAACGTGGTTCCATTAAGCATTTGTCTCAGGTGGGGCCAAAGGACTTAGAATCCTTAGGCAACATTTTTATCCAGGACTGATAAAGAGTTTTTAAAACAAAGTTTTTTTTGTTTGAAAAAAGCAGTAGTCCCAGCTACTTGGAAGGCTGAGGTGAGAGGATCGCCCAGGCTATGGAAAGGACAGTCTTTTCAACAAATGGTTGATGCCTGGAAACTGGATATCCAAGAGTGAAGTTGGACCCTTACCAAACATCATATACAAAAGTTAACTCAAAATTGACCTAAATTGTAAGAGCTTAAAATTAAACATAGAGAATATCTTCACAACGTTGGATTTGATAGTAGTTTCTTGGATGTGACACCAAAGTCATCAACATTAAAAAGAAAAAAATAAACAAATTGGACTTCATGAAAATTAAAGGCATTCAATTTCACATCAAAAGACACTATTGGCCAAGCATGGTGGTTCACTCCTGTAGTCCCAGCACTTTTGGAGGCCGAGGTGGAAGGATCACTTGAGCCCAGGAGTTCAAGACCAGCCTAGGCAACATAGTAAAACCCTGCCTCCATTCTTTCTAGAAAAATTTTTTTTAAAAACCACACAATCAGGCCAGGCACTGTGGATCATGTCTGTAATCCCAGCATTTCGGGAGGCTGACACAAGAGGATTGCTGGAGGCCAGGAGTTCAAGACCACTTTGGACAACATAGCAAGACCCCATCTCTACAAGTTTTTTTTTTTAAAAAGGTAGCTGAGCATGGTGGTGCCTGTCTGTAGTCCTAGCTACTCAGGAGGCTGAGGTAGGAGAATTGCTTGAGCCCAGGAGTTTGAGGTTACGGTGAGCTATGATTGCACTACTGCACTCTAGCCTGGGTGACAGAGCAAGACTCTATCTCTTTAAAAAAAAAAAAAAAAAAAGACACTTAACGACAGAATAAAAAGGCAATCCACAGAATGGGAGAAAATATTTGCAAATCATATATCTGACAAGAGATTAATAGAACTATAGAGAACTCCTAAAACTCAATGAGAAAAAAAGTTCAAAAATGGGCAAGGGGCCGGGCACTGTGGCTTAAGCCTGTAATCCCAGCACTTTGGGAGGCTGAGGCAGGCGCATCACCTGAGGTTAGGAGTTCAAGACCAGCCTGGCCAACATGGTGAAACCACGTCTCTACTAAAAATATAAAAATTAGCCAGGTGTGGTGGCATGCACCTGTAATCCCAGCTACCTGGGAGACTGAGGCTAAATTGTTTGAATCGGGAGGCGGAGGTTGCAGTGAGCCAAGATTACGCCACTGCACTCCAGCCAGGGTAACAGAGTGAGACTGTTACAAAAAAAAAAAAAAAAAGGCAAGGACTTGAATAGACATACCAATGGCCAAAAAGCACATAAAAAGATGCTCAGCATCACTGACCATTAGGGAAACACAAGTCAAAACCACAGTGAGATACCACCTCACACCCATTAGGATGGCTACTATTAAAAAAAAAAAAAAGTGTGGTAAGGATGTAGAAAAATCGGAACCTTGGCTGGGTGCGGTAGCTCACATATGTAATCTCAGCACTTCGGGAGGCCAAGGCGGGCGGATCACCTGAGGTGAGGAGTTCGAGATCAGCCTGGTCAACATGGCGAAACCCCATCTTTACTAAAAATGCAAAAAAAAAAAAAATTAGCTGGGCACGGTAGCACACGCCTGTAGTCCCAGCTTGGCAGGCTGAGGCAGGAGAATCGCTTGAACCCAGGAGGTGGTGATTGCAGTGAGCCAAGATCATGCCACTGCACTCCAGCCTGGGCGACAGTCAGACTCCGACTCCAAAAAAAAAAAAAGAAAAGTTGGAATCCTTGTGCATTACTGGGAAAATATAATGTTACAGCAGCCATGGAAAGCAGTATGGTACTTCCTAAAAAAATTAAAAATAGAGTCCTCATATGATCCAGCAGTTCCACTTCTGGGTGTACATCTAAAAACAAGCACAATCTTGAAGAGATATTTGTACTCCCGTGTTCACAGCAGCATTATTCACAATAGTAAAACGTGAAGGTAACCCAAGCGTCCATCAAAAGATGGATAAGGAAAATGTGGCATACATATAATGGAACATTAATTCAGCCATGAAAAAAACATTTGATACATGCTATAACATGGATGAACCTTGAGGATTATGCTCAGTGAAATCAGCCAGTTACAAAAAGACAAACACTATGATTCCAATTCTGTGAGGTACTTAAGAATAGTTAAAATCACAGAAAAAGGGCTGGGCGCAGTGGCTCAAGCCTGTAATCCCAGCACTTTGGGAGGCCGAGACGGGCAGATCACGAGGTCAGGAGATCGACACCATCCTGGCTAACATGGTGAAACCCCGTCTCTACTAAAAAATACAAAAAACTAGCCGGGCGAGGTGGGCGAGGTGGCGGGTGCCTGTAGTCCCAGCTACTCGGGAGGCTGAGGCAGGAGAATGGCGTGAACCCGGGAGGCGGAGCTTGCAGTGAGCCGAGATCTGGCCACTGCACTCCAGCCTGGGCGACAGAGCGAGACTCCGTCTCAAAAAAAAAAAAAAAAAAAAAAATCACAGAAAAGGTAGAATGGTGGTTGCCAGGGGTTGGGGGAGGAGGGGAACAGGGAATTACAGTTTAATGGGTAGAGTTCAGTTTTGCAATGAAGAGTTCTGGAGATGGACGGATGGTGGTGATGTTGTCCGATGGTATGAATGTCCTCAATACCACTGAGCCATACAGTTAGAAATGATGAAGATAGTAAAGTTTATGTGTGTCTTACCACAATTTTTTTTTTTTTTTGAATGGGAGTTTCGCTCTTCTTGCCCAGGCTGGAGTGCAGTGGTGCGATCTCGGCTACTACAACCTCCACCTCCCGGATTCAAGCGATTCTCCTTCCTCAGCCTCCCGAGTAGCTAGGATTACAGGCATGTGCCACCACACCTGGCTAATTTTGTATTTTTAGTAGAGATGGGGTTTCACCATGTTGATCAGGCTGGTCTCGAACTCCTGACATCAGATGATCCACCCGCCTAGGCCTCCCAAAGTGCTAGGATTATAGGCATGAGCCACGGTGCCTGGCCACCACAATTTTTAAAAAAGGGAAAAAAGTAAACCACACGCAGGAAGACAACCTAACTTCTTATTCCAATGAAATGTTTCCCTGGTTTACCTGCAGTAAGGTGGTTAAAAAAAAAAATCCTTTCTGAGGTTGTGATCCAAGCCACTGGGGAAAATGGCTCTATTCATACACTGGGCCTGTACTGTGACAGGCTGAATTGTGTCCCCTACAGTTCCTATGTTGAAGTCCTACCCATACGACCCTCCCACTCCCCCCAACCCCATACCTCAGAATGTGACTGTATTTGGAGGTATTTGGACGTAGCATTGTTAAGGAGATAATTAAGTTATAATGAGGTCATTAGGTGGGCCCTATTCTAGTATAACTAGTGTCTATAAAAAATTAGGACACAGACTGTGGGACAACCATGTGAGGGAAAAGGTGGCCATCTGCAAGCTAAGGAGAAAGGCTCAGAAAACAAGCCTGCTGGTACCTTGATCTTAGGAGTTCTAGCCCCCAGAATTGTGAGAAAATAAATTTCTGTTGTTTAAGCCACCCAGTCTATGGTACTTTGTAATGGCAGCCTGAGCAGACTAATACATTCACCATTCTAGACTACGCACTTGAGATAGAGTCCGCTGCCCCTGCCAGGCCTCACATCCTCGAGGACCACGGCATCTTTATTGACTAGTATGTCCCTGGCCTGCTCCACACTCTTCTACCTCCCCCTAACCCCAGCTGAACACACAAAGGTGTGTTTCTTTCCCATCAGGAAGGCCCTGCTTCTCTGCTCACCTTTCCAGCTGGCAACTTCCTTTCCCACCACTCCTCTGTTACTTTGACTCCTGTTGGTGGTATTTTCACTATACCCTCGGGATTTTTTACATTTTTTTTTTTTCCCCATTTGAGGGCAGCGGTTGAGGTCTGTCATCTTCTTCCCATTACCTGGTGAAGGGCAGCCTCTGTCACCCCCATCCATCTCAGGTGAATTAACTTTTTTTTTTTTTTTTTTTTTTGAGACGGAGTCTCACTCTGTCCCCCAGGCTGGGGTACAGTTGCATGATCTTGGCTCACTGCAAGCTCCACCTCCCAGGTTCACACCATTCTCCTGCCTCAGCCTCCCGAGTAGCCGGGACTACAGGCGCGTGCCACCATGCCCGGCTAATTTTTTTGTCTTTTCAGTAGAGATGGGGTTTCACTCTGTTAGTCAGGATGGTCTCAATCTCCTGACCTCGTGTTGTGATCCACCCGCCTTGGCCTCCCAAAGTGCTGGGATTACAGGCGTGAGTCACTGAGCCCAGCCTGATGAATTAATTTTAATTCTGGCTGGGTGTGGTGGCTGACACCTATAATCCCAGGGCTTTGGGAGGCCAAGGGAGGCAGATCACTTGAGGTCAGGAGTTCGAGACCAGCCTGGCCAACATGGCAAAATTCTGTCTCCTAAAAATACAAAAATTAGCCACCCGTGGTGGCGCACGCTTGTAATCTCAGATATTCGGGAGGCTGATGCAGTAGAATCGCTTGAACCAGAGAGACAGAGTTTGTAGTGAGCCGAGATTGTGTCACTGCACTCCAGTCTGGGCAACAGAGTGAGATTGTCTCAAAAAAAAAAATTAAAAATTAAAAAAAAATTCTAACACAAGACAAAGGAGCATTTTGATTCAACCAGTATTTATTAACAGCATGCCTGATTCTGCGGAAAGCAGACTTGAACCCTGGTCATTCCTACTCTCAGGGGCAGCACGTTAAGGATAGCAGCCTGCAAGTCTATTTCTTAAACTCCACTTGTGTGTACACCTTGGTGACGTCACTGTACTTGCCTTCAGGGGGCTGGTAGTTAGGGATCGGTGGTGTGTAACATGGCCCTTCCCTCTCAAAGGGGAACAGGTTGGGATCCCGCTTGATGGCCTCAGCATGGAGCTTCGGGGACTCGAGTCGCAGTTCCTCAAGAGCTTCCTGCTGGGCTTCTAGCATGGCCCTGATGGTGTCCCTCTCCATCTTATGCTCTTGCTGCTTGTACAAGGACCACTTCTTCAGAAGCAGAGCTCTCCTCTCAGTCTCCTCAAAGGTGAGCTCCACCTGAGGCCGCTGTCTGCAAAGAAGCTAAGGGTTACCAACCTCACTGGCATGGAAGTCTGTGACTGCAACTGACGCAAGTATTCCCATTGCCAGACACAGACAGGACTTAGGAGATAAAACAAGTTTGGGACAAATTAAGAAATGGAATGTTGAATGTGGCTGCAGCTGCAACTGATGCTGGGAACCAAGGTCATTTGCTTTCTGTCAGAAGAACAGATGGTCTGAGGAGACTGGTAGGACTTCCTCTGCCCAGGCAAATACTCCCTTGGATGAGAGGTGACTTTAACACCCGCCCCTTTATAGATGGTGCACACTGCTTACAAAATGGCAGCAGGAACTGTTAACCCTGCACACAGTAGAATCCCAACAAATACCAACTAAAGGTATCTGCATGATAAAACAAGAGACCAAGTGTTTTCTACTGTTAGGATGAGGCGAGGGCTTCAGACTCCAGGCCCAAAGGATCAGAAACAGCCAAGACTCCTCATGCATGACAGCAAAAACATGAACTCCAGAGCAGTGCTTAAGCATCTGGATTATTAGATATCTTAAGTTCTTTCCCACCCAGAGCCATTCAAGAGTACCACCCAAGGATGCTTTCTCCTGATCCCAAAAGAAGCAAAGACTCATTAGGGCCAAGTCAGCTCAAGCCTACTGACCAATTACTATCACAGGTGTGAACTACAGACACCACTACCTGAAGTTGATAGAACTCCTTTGTGCTGAGGACTTCATCCCTAGAGAAGGATCCTTACCTTGCTTTATCCAAGAACTTTAGAGGGGTAATAAAATCTTCAATAGGAATTAGCTCTTGACTAGCCTTTTCCAGTTTTCGGATCCTTCTTTTCAAGCGCTCCTTTGCTGCTTGGTCTTTTTTAGGATCTACCTTCTTCTTCTTTCGAAGAGGTTCTGATCTAATAGATAAAGCAAATATTAAACATTTTCCTCTTCAGTCTCATGAACCTACGGAGAGACAAAATGGTAAGTACCCCAAATTGACCTCTCCACTGGGGGAAGGAGCTGTGCATAACTGACTCGTGAGCTCAATGTGGTGAGGAGGTACTCCACCCCAGAGTACTTGTGAGAACTGTGTGGGTGCCATCAATTACAAGAAACAGTACAAAAGCAGCTGGCCGCAGTGGCTCACGCCTGTAATCCCAGCACTTTGGGAGGCAAAGGTGGGCAGATTGCCCAATGTCAGGAGTTCGAGACCAGCCTAGCCAACATGGCGAAACCCTGTCCCTACTAAAAATACAAAAATGAGCCAGGTGTGGTGGTGTGCACCTATAATCCCAGCTTCTCAGGAAGCTGAGGCAGGAGAATCACTTGAGCCTGGGAGGCAGAGGTTGCAGTGGGACGAGATTGTGCCACTGCACTCCAGCTTGGGTAACAGAGCGAGACTCTGTCTCAAAAAAAAAAGTACAAAAGCAACAAGGGGCATCAGAGTATAAAATCAGGGGAAGTGTTCCTCTTTACTGCTGGGATTCAGGTGTGCCTTGGGATTACATTCAAAAGTGAAAATACCAAACTGTTGGATTAGGAGCTCATTACTATTAAAATTGATTTGTGGGCCAGGTGTGGGCTGGCCTGTAATCCCAGCACTTTGGGAGGTTGAGGTGGGTGGATCACCTGAGGTCAGGAGTTCGAGACCAGCCTGACCAACATGGTAAAACCCCATCTCTACTAGAAATACAAAAATTAGCCGGGCGTGGTGATTGGCACCTGTAATCCCAGCTAGTTGGGAGGCTGAGGCAGGAGAATGGCATGAACCCAGGAGGCAGAGGTTACAGTGATCCAAGGTCACACCACTGCACTCTAGCCTGGGTGACACAGTGAGACTCCATCTCAAAAAAAAAAAAAAAAAAAAAGGAAGAATCAAATCCTTTACCATCAAGATTGACTGAATCAAGATTGACTAGAAAGAGTCAAGAGTGCCAGATGGAAATACCTTTAATACTTGCATCTTCCCCACACTCTCCAGGGCCTCAGAATGGGCAGGGAAGAGGAAGGCTCATGGAGAAAGAGAAACTTAAGCTGTGTCCTTTAAAACACACAAGAATCCCTTCCAGGAGAATACTTATTTAAACTGCTTAAATTTTAAAAATTACAAACAGCAACCTATGGTATGGAAAATATTGGAAAGACAGAACTGAGAAACTTTGTAGGCTGTTAATTTTGCAAACCACACATCCAGCAGTCTAGCTTTGTTCTCTACACATCGAATGACACCTATACCCCCAGAAGTCAGGCCCGCGGTTGAGTTTTACCTCATGGGAATGAGTTCCCAGAAAGACAACAATGATGCTCGCTGGTGAGTATTTCTAATCTGCCTCTGCCAAGTTCCCAGAAGCCTGAAAGACACAAGAGTATGTATAAATACTGATTCTCGAGACCAGGCGCGGTGGCAAACGTCTGTAATCCCGGCACTTTGGGAGGCCGAGGCGGGTGGATGGCGAGGTCAGGAGTTCAAGACCAGCCTGGCCAACATGGTGAAACCCCGTCTCTACCAAAAATACAAAAATCAGCCGGGCGTGGTGTTGGGCGCCTGTAATCCCAGCTACTCGGGAGGCCGGGGCAGAACTGCTTGAACCTGGGAGGCAGAGGTTGCAGTGAGCCGAAATCGCGCCACTGCACTCCAGCCTAGGCGACAGTGAGAAACTCTTGTCTCAAATATCTCATTCTCTCCCACTTCACAGGAAAATAAAAAATTACAATGCTCCCGAACCCGGGGCACTTGTAACTACTTGATGTGACAGCAAGGTCAACGTGAGAGATTTTTCAAAATCTTTCGTTCACACCACAGAGGACTTGGGCAGGACCCCTGCTCGCCAGGGTGCTCAGATTTTCATGCATAAGAGTCATGATCAGATATGGCTCATCCCTGAGATATTCGTGGACTGGGAAGCGAGCAGGGAGCACAGGCGAGTCCCGGCGGACAGGCGCAAAGACCCCGCAGGCGCCCTGGGCACTCCGCTACCCGGTCGACGTCCACACTCACCCGCTCGTCGGGCGCAGGGTTAGCGAGACACCTCGCAGCACGTAGGCCGTCATGGCTACCCTCGCCGCTTCCGGGCGTGCGCCCCTCCGCAGTCCGACCCGCGGTGCCCCCTACTGAGGTCCGGCAGACCAGCCGCCCAGCGCTCAGGCGTTCCGGCAGCAGGGGCTGGGACGCGCTTGTCCCCGCCCCCGACGCAGCCCCGCCTCGGGCGTCCGCTGCGCACACAAGAGCGCCTAGCGTTTCACGCGGCTGAGGGTCCTCCCTTCCGTCCCCGCCCTGGGCTGCGAGTGCGCCTCTGCAGCGGGCCCTGTCCCGCCAGCCAGGCCCTAGCCGGTTGGTCGGTCTGCGCCCTCGCGCGGGCCTCGACCCTGCAATGCAACCGGTGCGGCCGAGGGGCGTCCCTCTGCTCCTCCGAGTCCAAATGTTCACGTCTAGGCAAACGGCCCCGATCTTCCAATAAACACGTCCGCCCCAGCCTCCCCGACCAGGGTTGGCTCGTTCCCCTCATTCGTTCGAGTCCGAAGCCAGGGTCACATTCCGGCGCCGGCGCGGAGGCTGGCGCTCGCAAGATGCCCAATAGCGCGTGTTGATGAATGACGGAAGCTAGTTAATAAGTCGGACTCAGACTGGCGAGGCAGAGCTGGTGACGGGCGGTCCACGCCACCTGGGCCCCGCCTGCCTCTGCGACCGGCCCGGGTTGCAACTCCAGGCCCCGCTCGCTGTCCGCCGTCCAGGCGAACCGCCCCTTCTGGGGCGTCCGCGCCCGGGCCCGACCCGAAGCCCCTGCCAGCCGAGGAGCCGGGGCGGCCCAGTCCGCGTGGGGAGCGGTTTCCCGCCGGGGCGATTTGGCAGGTGCGCGCCGTGACTTCCGGCGTTGCCCGGGAGCCGCCTGAGGAGGAGCGGCGCAGGGGATGCGGCTGTGGTGGCGGCGGCGGCGGCCGAGCGCGGGGGGCGGCTGTGGCGGCGGAGGGGGGCGCGGGCCGGCGATGGCGCGGCGGCCCTGAGGGCGCGGGGCGGGCGGCGGCCGGAGGGCGGGCGGCGCGGGAGGAAGCGGCGGCGGTGGCTCCATGGCCCGGGCGCGCTGAGGGACCCGGCTCTCGCCTCAGCCCGGCGGCGGCGGCGGCCGAACAATGAAGCTCCTGAAGCCGACCTGGGTCAACCACAATGGTGAGTGCGCGCAGGGGTCCCGGGAGGCCGAGCCCGCAGTCGGGTCGGGGTCTGTTGTCGAGTCGGGGCGCGCGCAAGTCCTGCCTGCCTCGCCCCTGACGCCCGGTACCCGGTGCCCAAGCCAAGAAGCCGGCGGGAGCGGACTTTGCCCTCAGCGCGGGGAGGCCGGTGAGCCCCAGCACGTGCTCCGGGTTGACCGCAGCGAAGGCCATCTTCGCCCCTGGCCCTTGCTCTGAGTCTTCCGCTGCCCACCTGTGGTCCCTGGAGGGGCCCCGGCCTGGCTCCCAGGAGCGGGCCTTGGTGCCGGCCAGTGCCTTCCACTGGTCTGCATCGCCCGGGAAGTACTCAGACAGTCCTGAAGGTGAAACCGGGACGAAATCCCCCTTGTGGCCTTTCAATGGCAGGGTGAAGATCTGAAATCTGCAAGAGGGACTGTTACTGCCCCTCTGGATCTGGTGACAGTGCCCCTAGTTGGGGAATTGTGGTCCCTGAATAGGAGGGCTTGGGGGCCCAGGGTCCCCGCCGAAGGATCCACGATTAATGCTGAGCTGGGACGTCAGGGTGAACTAGGGTTGGGCACAGGTGTGTTCTAGGAGAGGGGCTTCCTTAGCTCTGTGGCGGTGGCCTCTAAGCACACCGTTGGGGAACAGACTCATCCGCCCCGTATCTTGACCCTGATACAGAGAGACTAGTGGTAATCAGTTTCGTCATAGTTCTGCCTTGTTGGCAGAACTGCTGCAAGAGTTGGTGTTTGCTCCCCAGGGAGATGAAAAAAAGCGCACCCCTCCCCCACCCCACTCTGCTGACAGCACTGTAGCACAGAAATCAACCCAGGGAGACTCCTGCAGCCCAGGGCCTGATTCTGGCCTGTCTCTGACTCTTGACAGGCAAGAGTCACCCTGATCAGGTCACCCTGATGCTGTCTTGTTCCTCATTTCTACTTTGCAATGCGACTAGAGGGTGCTACCGTTTTCTTTAAGAGCGAGAAGAATAGATACTTTAACATGTGGCTTTTTCGTTTTGAATTTGGTCCCAGAATGCTCTCTACTACCACAACTAAACTGAACTGATAATGTCTGTGTTCTCCTGCTACCTCTCTCCCTTTCCATCTTATGTGATGTCTTTCCCATTTTTCAGGGACTAGGTGAGGTCACGTGTTTCTTTTGAAACGGTTCATCCTGAGTTACCCCGGTAGATGTGCTGTATCACTGTCTGTGTGTTTTGCCTTGCATGGAAGGTGTTGGGGGGTACTTTCCATATGCCCCCAGGGTAGGGACTGCCTCAATCCCTTCTGTATGCCCTGCTGCATTGAGCAACCTCTTCCACATGATGGGTGTGTGATAAATATTGGCTGAAACAGGTCAGAAAGGTGAGGTTTTCATAATTTATCAAGATGAAGTTAGGTTTACAGTGCATGAAAGCAGAAGTCTTGAGTTTCAGTTTCATTTCTCCTCTTGATTTCCAAGAGCGTTTCCTGATGTGTACTGTGCAGATCTTTCCCTGGAGAACTGGACAAATGTTGTAATTATGAATTATGATGCTTGTGATTAGGAAAGGAAAAATGTTATTATGAACTAGTTTACTGTGTGAAGGTCTGATGGAATTTTTATGTTAAAATGCTTTACCTAAATCAGTTTGTGTGAATAGCCTACCCTTCTCCAGCCTCTCCTCTACTGTCAGGTAACTTGTTCCTTTTTGATAAGCTCCTTTGTAGGCCAAAAGTTTTATTCTGTGTAAACATAAGTAAGTCAACATGCTTAAGTGATGAACTAGGTACAAATGAATAAGAGACTACACTCAGATCAGCAGCCAAGTGCATCAGCCTGGCGGAGCAAGCACAACAGTGGCCCTTGTTGCTGAGGGCCTCTCTACAGCCCTAGAACAGAGCATGATAATATCTGTTCTAACCACTTCACAGTATGCTTGTGATACTCAGTTGGGAGCGTAGATACAAAAACGCTCCCCAAACTGTAAAGTGCTTTAGAAATCTGAGATAATAAGTAATAATAAAAAGAGGTTGGGCATGGTGGCTCACACCTGTAATCCCAGCACTTTGGGAAGCTGAGGTGGGCGGATCAAGAGGTCAAGAGATTGAGACCACCCTGGCCAATATGATGAAACCCCATCTCTACTAAAAATACGAAAATTAGCTGAGTGTGGTGGCGCACACCTGTAGTCCCAGCTACTCGGGAGGCTGAGGCAGAAGAATTGCTTGAACCCGAGAGGTAGAGATTGCAGTAAGCTGAGATTGCGCCACTGCACTGCAGCCTGGCAGAGCGAGACTCCATCTCAAAGGAAAAAAAAAGATATGACGACTCTGGCAGGGTGGGATTTAATTTCTTTTAAACTTGTTCTTTGTCAAATTTCCTTTCTTTTAAAATTTCATGGAATGTTCAGAAGGACTGTCAGAGGTAAATTACCACTGCCCTGGAAGAAATGATGCTGGTCTGAATCACTGCTGAGCAGGCCTTTAAAGACTCTAGGAGTATTGGTGGCTGCTGGGAGCAGGGGCTGCTCAGCCAATAGCCTAAGGGGTGGGTAGTGGCCAATAAAATTGTGCTTGCTTTTGGAAAGCACATCATTGCACTTTCTGGCTTCCTCGTACTGTATTCATGTCTCCTATCTCATGAAGCATGAAAATAACTTTTTTTTTTTTTTTAATAGAAATGGGATCTTGCACTGTTGCCCAGACTCAAATGCCTGGGCTCAAGGGATCTTCCTGTCTCAGCATCCTGAGTAGCTGGGACTACAGGCGTGAGCCACTGCACCCAGCATGAACATAGTTTTTCTGTTTTTCGAGAGTCTGAAGGGGGAAGTAGCAGAGAGCTCAACATTTTTCTCTGGTGTGGCAGAGAATCCATTCAAAGTAGAGAGGGCAGCTATGACAGGGAAAGAAGTATTTGTTGAAGTGTAGGTGTGCTATGGTCTTCATTTTCTTGGCTGATAATAGAGAAACCTCTAAGGGAGGGTTTCCCAACTTCAGCAGGTTAACGTTTTGGGCCATAAGATTGTGTGATTGTCATCTGTGTTATGGAATGTTTCTAGTATCCTTGGCCTCTACCCACCAGGTGCCAGTAGCACTTCACAACCACCACCTAGTTGTATCAACCAAAAATATCTCCAGTCATTGCCAATGTCCATTGGTAGCCAAAATCACCCCCAGTTGAGAAGCACTTGTCTAAGGTTATCAATAAGTTTATCTTGAAGTTGTCACATTGCAGTGAAATGAGCCTTGAATGTAGAATCAGACTGGGTTCAAAACTGCATCATTTACTAGCTGTAAATTTTTGGACTTATAACTCTACTTCTGGGCCTTGGTAAAATAAAACTGACCTCTTCCATTTTATCCTGTGACCAAATATAAAAGATTGTTAAATTGAGATATATAATAATAGCTATCATTTATATAGAAGTTGTGTGTGTCAGGTATTGTTCATACATACACATTTTACTTTGTGTTCTTGGATATAGTATTCTCTATATATTTTATTTTAGAATTGACCAAAATAAGCTTCATTTCTAAGTTAGATTAAGGTCAGAAAGTGAAAACAACTAGGGTTTCTGGTTTTAAAGCTTGTAGAAATATGGAGTTTGTATGTTTAGAAAATCTCACTGAGATTCATGACTCTTCCCAACTCTGGGCCTTTGCTCCTGAGTTTTTTCTGGAATTCATGCTTGGGCAGACAGCTCTCACGCTCAGCTCTTTGGTGAAGCCCATTCTAACCAAGAGGGCCAGGACTGAAAGAACTCTTGTCCACCTTTGACCTCTGGTTCACACTTTGATGGCAGTGTTATGAAAAAGGATTTGGGAAATTTTCAAGAACAGGATAATTTCCCAGTAATCACATGACCTTATGGTGTGTGTTTTCTCCTGTCCTGCGACTGGATTATTTTTACCCCTACCTTGTGTCATTCTGAAAAGGATTTGAAGCTGTC